TGTGAAACCAGTTTGGCATTGACAGAGATACGAACCGATAGTGTTTTCGCAGTTTGAATTGGAACCACATGAATCTTCTGCACACTCGTCCACATCTGTTGAATTTAAAAAGGTTATCTTAAAATTATTAAACGGAGTTCAACTATCAGAAAAGCACATCAGAATGCCAAGATTTTGAGGGGAAATATTTCTATTTTAACGCACTCGATCCACCTTTCAACTGTTTTAGACTATAAAATCATCTTAAAAATTTGTAGCAAGTACTACTTCCACTTCTACTTGTGCAAATATGCAAAATTTCCTCTTTCAACACAAGCATGAATAATATTATATTTCATTTCATTCTTTAAAGAATAAATTTGTAGATGAGTCGACAACAGCGCTCAAGGTCTTGCCTCAAGGTAAAACATGATAAGTTCGTTTTGTTTGATTCGTTTCATACCTTGACAAACTGTTTTATTCCCAGTGAATCCTGTATCACATGAACATACGAAGGTACCAGAAGAGTTTGTACACGTCGAGTTTGCAGGACAGGTATTTTTTAAAAAACAATTATCATTATCTGTTTTATTGGAACGTGGCAAAGCAGCTATAATAATAAATCATTATTATTAATTCTTTACAGGCTATGGCGAAGGCGAAAAAATTACTTGAAAATGTTGCAATTAATAATGGTAATAGAATGAATAAGAGTGCAATTAATGCCAAATCATACGAGTACAAAATTCATATTTTGTATCCTAAATGGTGATTGGCTAATTGTATATACTAGAGTAATTTTTATTGGCTATGAGCAAGAGTGCAATTACAACTTGCAAAGGCTGCTATTAATGCTAAACTGCACTCTTCTTAGCCGATGAACTTCTAGCATTTGCCAAAGATTTTAGAAATATGTAACTAATACCAAAATCATACGACTGTAGTTACCAAATCAACCGATCGTGTAGCGGCCGGAGGTTAAATTTAAGCCACGATCTCGGGATGAATTGCACGACTTAATTCATTAAAAATACTGCAGTACAGATTCTCTTGCGTTATATGTTTCAATTTCATTTAGGTTTGCAAGTATTATTTCTTAAATTACTGCCAAAGTACTGCGTCACATTTATTATTTATTGATAAATTTTGCAAGATTATTTATTACTTACCCTCAACAATAATTATTCGTGTTGCTTTAGTTGAAAGTGAAATCGTAGCAGCCACTGTATCTGTCGATTTATCATATTTATCAATTTCAGATGTTGTTGTATCGAGGATATAATAATATCCATTTCCATCTGCAATGTCCACGGTTGTAACACCTCCTGATTGATCTATTCCGATCTGCGAAGTCTGACCATCGTACGTTGTTTTTAATATTTTGTAATTTGTGTCAGATGTAAAAAGAATCCAATATACAGTTTTATTCACGGTATCAAGCGCAAGGTGAGTGCCTATTCCAATGATACTGTTGTGAAGAGTTTGAACAGCTCCATTGGTAAGACTGTATCGGAAGAGATTTCGATTTTGTGACATATCAGTGGTAAAGAATATTGATCTAAGTGAAGAAAAAATGAATAAGACAGAAATGAATATAGATTTGATACCCCCCCGAATACGAATTACCCCCCCCCCCCCTCCCCCCCCGAAGCGATAATAATGATTATCGCTGGGGGGGGGGGAGGGGGGGGTAATTATAACTTCGCTTCGGAAGAGGGATAATTAATTATTGAAGCTAGTGTTGACATAACACACATTTCAATTTAGTTATCTGCAACCTAAACCACATACCGAAACGTACCAAAACGTAGCGAATAATTTCTTTTGAAGGAGTCATGTAACTTCACAGTCGGACTTTCAGATTATAAAGTACGTGTATTAGGAGGTAACAAATATTCTTTTTCGTTCGCCGTAGTTTGAAACGATATTGATTTTCAGTTCATCACCTACCTATTGAATGTATCAATTTTAAAGTCCCGGTAATCACGGCTATTTAACCCGATATCTGGTAAACTATTGCCATTATAGTCGATTGATTTAAATTTACTATCATCCCGGTAGTAGACAGTTTGATTGGCTGCGTCAACGGCAAATAATTTGTCAAAAGCTGGCACGTTCAGTAAACTTCGCAAGTCACTTCCATCCAACTTAGCGTTATACAGATTAACATCTTCCATATACCAAATCCGATAATTCAGTTCGTCATAATCTAACGTGGCACTGCCAGCAGATACAAACGCAACGGAATCTCCACCATCAACGGACATGTAGGAAATATGAGTGGCGTTTGAGAAGAAGATGTATTCAATGCCTTCTTCTGCATTTCCTGTGTGTGAAATTAAACATGCTTCATTAAATCAATAACATGATATTGCAAAACTCACCTGGGCCAAAGTATAGTGTCACGTGCACGACCTAATTGTGCAGCAATTTTAAAATTTTACTCAGCTGCGCGAGGTATCCACGCAGGAAAAAAAAATTTAGGGGGAAGTAACAGACATTACTATATGGCTTTCCAAAATCCCCAATTCCGGATTGGTGGACGAGCGGTCCGTAAAAACCCATATCCGGAGAGTGCCGTACTGATCTTCCGTATTTGGAAAAGTATCCCGGATGTCTCATGCAGTTCAGCCATATTAGGCCCCGTTTACACTATACCGGATTGCATCGGAGCGCAGCGATTTTCGTACCGGATTGGGCTGCTTTTTACACTACTCCACTGTAATCCGGTACATGCCGCGGAGCGAAAATCAATCCGATTTTGAGGTGATATAAAAAGTAATCCGGTATGTATCGGAGCAGTGTAAACAGACCAATCCGGTACAAAACTTATTTTGGCGCGAAATTTGTGAGCCAAGTCGTGCCTTACGAGAATGACTCAGACAGTATTTAGCGGGAAACTGGCTTTGTTTCTATGGCAACATCAAAAAGTGATGAGCTGGCAACAAAGCGAAACGGTGCAATCCGGCATAGTGTAAACACCCTTATTTTTTGCTTCGGAGTGAAAATTAATTCGGTATGGAAAGTAATCCGGTATAGTGTAAACGGGGCCTAAAGGACCGATTATTGATTTCCCTTGTTCGTTCTGTAATGTGAAATATCAGACCAAGGCTTTCTACCTTCTCAGACCTCACGCTCTGTGGTCAATAGTCATAATTATGAATACTAAAGCCTTTTACAGACGAGCAAGTTTTCTATGACGACAAGTTTTTATGTGATAAGTTTTAATTGGCAATTACACGTATATGTACACCGAAATAAACTTGATTTTGAACAAGTGTACTTTTCATAGAAAAAAATTGTCGAAGTTGGGCGTAAGACGAACAATTAAAACTTGTTACATAAAAACTTGTCATAGAAAACTTGCTCGTCTGTAAGAGGATTAAACTTTGATCAAGCGATGATTATAATTGTGAATCAGTCTTTTCCAGGTTAAGAGTGTGATTTTAGTTTTGATTTGTTCACTACAACGACAAGGCACTTCTCTGTAGCTAATAATCATAATTCTGTTCACAAAGTCGCGTTATCCGTAATGATCCCTCTTGACTAGGTGTCGCCGAGTCGCCTAAACTTGCATGATTTTGTTGTACTTTTGACCTTTGCAGTTTATCGCAGGTCCTAATTCCGATAATAAGAAGATCGTGACTGCAGCAAAAGATGTAAAGTTCGTTTTAACCAGTCAAACCACAGGCAGCCCGGTCACTGCTGTTACGTCATGCTATTATATATGTATATAATTACAATAAGGCTGGCAACTCTCTCACAAAAAATATAATACATACATTAATACCATCGCTTAAAACAAAAATATTACGCTAGTTTCTTAAAAAAAAACTACATACAAAACACTTTGGATATATTGACTATATTTATCTGTCGTTTTTAGACTTGAAAAAAACTCTAAAATGCTCAAATTTTGCAAATTAAAAGTGTATTTTCGTTGAGATTTTGCGAAACAGAGGATATAACTTACTCGACAAACGTCATCATCGGAGAATTCGTCGGCAAATTTCTGATTGGCTGTGGCAAGTTCGGAAATCTACGAAGGTCAACTCAATGAAGAAAAAAGATCTTCGTTATTTTCCGAACTTGCCAAGAAACTATCGTAGTATTTTTGTTTTAAGCGATGGTATTAATGTATGTATTATATTTTTTGTGAGAGAGTTGCCAGCCTTATTGTAATTATATACATATATAATAGCATGACGAAACAGCAGTGACCGGGCTGCCTGTGGTCAAACTGCCGAAACCTGCCATGCTGAAACATCTGTCCACAACCCAGAAGAAACAAGCAGTATGGAATTACACCCGGAACCCGGAAGAACATAGCTGAATCCAAAGTTGTCCAAATTCTATGTCATGGACGGTCGACGTTGGGTGGTTTTGTAAGTTATGCGCATGCGCGATTAACGACTGGTTATCAACAAACATTCCAATTGGCTAAGACTAACAGTTTGTATTTCAATGAAACGTACGTCAGCAATTTAACTGTCATTTCGTAAATCTTTTTTTTAAAGCGTTTCACAAATCGAGGGAAACATTGAGACTCGAGAGAAAACAAAATTCACTATTTCCCGAGGTAGTGTTTTGTTATATAGGATTTTGTTATTAGGTAGTTACATGTTATACAATAATTTCATTTCCAAAAAAAAAAAAACACACTTTACTTTGTTATGACAAGAAGCGGGCAAAAATAGCAAGAGAGAATTTCATTTTAGACATATCAGCAAGTTTGTTTGAATTTTCAATAACCCAATCAGAATGCATAAATTTTGACAAAAAGTACAATATATACCACTTTAAATGAAGTATTTAAAATTTAGGCATTCTGATTGGCTTTGCCTAAAAAATGTCAACAAATGTGGTGATTAGTTAAAAATGAAATTATCCCTTGTTGGCAACAATGTTTCATTTGTTTCCCTGGCGGGAAACATTGCATCTATTTAAAGTCATGTGACTACGAAGAACCAATCACATTTAAAATACACAGCAACTTTATAACAATTGCCCCATTTGTCCGCCATATTTTTGATAATAGCTTTACAATATTTCAATTTTGTGCGAAATGGAGTCACGGAAAAGGATTAAACTAAGCGACAACCAGGCAGCTAGTCTTGAAAGATTTTATAGTCAGGGAATGGTGGGCACTGGCTTAAATTGTCGCGAGATGGTCGATCGTGCTGTGGCCGAAACCTGTCTGACTACAGCGCAAGTGAAGGTATAAAATATTGTTTATAATGCAAATTTTAAGCATCTTATGATCTTGCTATGAACTATCCGTATTTTAGCGAGATGTTATCAAATTAATTACGATATTGTATATCAAACTGTTTGTAGAAGTGGATTGGAAATAGAAAACGGAAAAGACCGGTATACATCGAAGTTGATTCCACTCCAGACGAAGATTCACAGTTGCTAAAGAGAGCAACATCAATTCGAGGACCGAATCCTTACGATGTATTTTGCTCTGATTTTCTTAAAAGCGGTAAGAGACCTTCTACGTTTATATTAAAAACACTGGTTGTTTTCTATGCCTGCATGCAGAACTTGTAGTTGTAGACTGTGTCTGTAGTATATCTGTTGTTTCACTTGTTTGTAATATCTTGTGACAATATATTTTAAACAGCAGTGTTGATGCCTTAACTCAACAATCTTCAGGCCAAACCATCCTTACACAGCAATTCTTTTTTCTGATTTTCTACTTTTGTTGGGATATGTATGTAGCATTACTGCATTCCCACTTAGTTTTGTAAAGAAATTAATGTTAATGGTCTTAAAATTTTAAATTTGAAGGAAATAGGGTAATATTTCACCTATTAATCACAGTTTGACTGATTAAAAAGGCACATCTCAGTTCAGGAAATTACTGACTTGAGTACCACACTGGAAGTTACCAGTATACTCCTATATAGAGAAACACTCTTCTACCCCACCACACTCCCTACCACAATTTGAAGGGAGTCAATTTGTAATGGTCCCACTGCTCCCGCACAAACCTCTTGGTTGTTGTGGCAAAAGTGTAAGAGATTGATATATTTTATAATGTTGTTGATGTGCAAATCTTATGCCAAATAAACCTTGATTATTTTCATTTGCAAAAATGATTATAATGTGCTGTAAATGATTATCACCAGCGATTATCAACAATCTTTCATTCATTGCTATTTATAGAGCAATGCATAGATTTGGAATGTGAAGAAAATAATAAGTTAGCTTCAGAAGTATGGAAGGGAATTGAAGAAGATGAGAAAAGGAAGTTTAAAAGTTCTGCTGATGCTATTAAGAATGTAAACATACAATCCTTATCGGATGAACAAAAGGGAAAATTTATATCACAACACAAAAAGAAGCTTATGCAGGAGGTAAGTGTGGTTCCTTTTTCTACATTTATTGTGAACAGAAGAATATTGAATGTACACTAACTGTTTTTTAAAGTATATTCCTGAATAATATGTATTAATTAACCATGCAATTTAATTTCCAAAGAGGGAGTGAGTCACCAAATATAACAAATTATCTTACAGATTTTAAAACTGGAAGAATTGGGTTGTGTTGTCACAACAATATTACGAGACAATGTGGGAAAAATTTTTGAGCTTGGGTCACAAAGTGGAAATATGTTTCTGGCTTCACATCCTGATGTTGTAGTGAAATTTCGTGATTGTTTTTGTAAGTATATAGTATACTGTATGCAAGCATGAATGTATATTTATCACCTCACTGGATTGAGTTTGCCCTCTGGATTAATCTGGAAATCAAAACTTCAGTACATTGTGGAAGTAAATTAACTGTCAACCTTTTCTCAGTGTGTTGTAATGTAATTTCATTGCTGTTGTATCTCCTGTTTTTTAGTGAATGACTCACATGAATATTGTGTTCATCATGTTCAGAATTTATTCAATCAAAAATATAGTAAGTCTTGTATGTTTATCTGTTAGAATAGACCTGTCTGTATAGACCTGGGAGACTGGTAAACAAAGAGTGTCAAAGTCAAAGGATTATGATTTATCCATATCTTGCATTGCCTTAACAGGCTTCATTCAGATATGAGGCATAAACTTTTATTTTCTTTTTACAGGTATTGCTGTAGGGAAGCCAAGCAGGGTTCCCTATTTAAAGGGTGGTTTTGTGGTAGAAGGTCTGCCTGATGGAGTACCATTCAAGAAACCATATCATTATGGAGCACTTCAGTGTAAGAAGATCATGACTGCAGCAAAAGATGTAAAGTTCATTTTAACCAGTCAAACTGAAACCTGCCGTGCTGAAACATCTGTCCACAACCCAAAAGAAACAAGCAGTAAGGAAGAAATATGTCGCTTGTTAAGCTGTATAGCTGGCACACAAGTTGCAGAAGATGCCATCGGCAGGGCTGAGAAGAAGATAAAGAAAGAAGATGTGAAAGTTCAGAACTTCGTCTTGACTGAAGCAGAGAGAGCCTTGCTTTACTCCAGCTGTGAAGATTTTTTCCAAGAAGATGCCTGGTTAGCGGTTGGGCGAAACATTAAACATTGCTGTGAAGTAAAAAATATGATTTTGCCAATATATACAGAAGCAAATGAAAGATTCTGGCTTTTTCATACCATTGCAAAACCATCGTTTATTCAGACGTGCGGACCTGTTACAAAACTAAAGGGATACTGGATGGATCTCAAACCGAGTGGAGAATATAGTATGCTTTCAGAGCAAATATGTTTATTTGGGAAAAACATTGTTCATACACTGCATGGCCCTCTCTACTTCATTGCTGATGACAATCTTCTTCAGGCGAAGGTTTACAAACCATCAATTGATTGTCGGAAAGCTATAATCAATGCACTTGAACTACTTAGGTAGTTACATACACAGAATAATAATGCTGTTTCCACTTTTCACACACTGTTTTTGACAACTGAATAGTGTATATATTTATAAAGTAACATAAATATTATAACGCGTGTTGTTAATGGTCGAAGCCCGTACTTGGTCTTGGATCAGTTCATCCAATCACGGAAATTTAGCTAATTCCCTTTTTGAAATAAAACTTGGAACACCGCCTTGTTGTTGTTATTTTATAAAACTTGGCTTGATCTAAATACTTGGGAATTTTGCTTGAGCTAAGAAAAGCTACATTCCAGCGTGTTCGGATCAGGCCATTATATATATAAACATGTCATTGAATTGCATTCAACGCGACCAAAATGCGACTATAGCCTAGACCACAAGTGAACAATATTATCATGCATGGGGGGCTAAATTATTAAATATTAGCATAGAGGGACTAAAGCAGTTATATACTGCCAACTATGACTTAGGCCCCGTTTACACTATACCGGATTCGCTTGTCACGATATCTTCGTTTGCCGGCAATAGTTAGAAGCAATAGCTTATCAGTTTGATAGATTTGGTTCATTTATTTTGATCTCTGACAGTAAAATTTTTACTGCCCTTCAATAGCTACAAAATTTGACCCACTCTGGAAGCTACCCGATATGCTTTAAACGCCTTATATGCACGGCACGGCCAAAAATGCTTCCCGGTCAGATTATATTAGCGAGTTTAAGATGCACCAAATCTACGACGCGGACAAGACATGAAAATTTTTACTAGTGTCGGAAACCAGTAATTATTTGTTCTTCATACGGCTCTGACTTTTTTTATCAAAAGGAGTCTATAATTTCCACCCCTGTTTGGGAAACTGTGGATATTATAGCAGTATTACTTCACGTCTGCGTCGTGGATTTGGTGAATCTTAAACTCACTATTTATATGGCAAAGACACGCCGCTATATCGGCATACACACGGCTATATCGGCATACAGTTGAATTTTTCATGTTCGCAAATTATAGAGTCTAATTAACTTACCCTTGACTTGAGAAAATTCCCAACTTGCGAAAATGAGAAACAAGAATACGTGCAAATGAAACATCTGTTAGAAGTGGAGAAAAATTAACGTTTAGTCCAAAAGTCTGCTCTCGTAAAAGGTCAGGTGGAAAACCCGTTTTAGACTGCAGAATATAGACGACATATTTAGGGATTGCCAGTGAAATCTTTATAATTTGTCATTTCATTAAAACTAATTTATTATGAATTTATTAATATTTTTTATGGGTTTGCCCTGCGAGTTGGTGACAAATTTTTACGCATTGCCAAGTTTCTGCTTTGTTTCATTTTCAGTTTAGTAACAATGCCAATCTGCAACCTCGTCGCCAGGGCCTTTTGGTACCGGGGGGTTGCCAATCTGTTAGCTCAGTTAGAGTTTAATTATCAATTGTACGAACTTTAATGCACCATTTTATTGGCTGAGGTATTATTACGGAGGGTATTCAGCGATACGAAAACGTAGTTATAAAGCATCAGGAATAACTGGAAGCAATTTAACAGCGAACTGACAAACGAAATGTCAAAGTCCTGCAACACTTTCTATCGCTTCATAATGTTACTGGTTTTTATTGCTATATATACAATTCAATGCAAAATTGAAATAAGTTTTCTTCATAAAAAAATACACTTGAATGAAATGACTATTTCATGGTGGACTACAGCTTTTGTAGTCGTATTCGCCTGTGAAAGTTGTCTCAATTGAGGAGCGAGAACTTAGTGAACATAGCTTTAGCTAGCTGCGTTCATACCATGAATATCCTGACTGCTCATATCGAATGTAGACACATAGAGTCTTATAAAAATAGTGTCTAATGCTAAGTATATAATTATGGAGAATAGCACATTAATTTAGGCAGAATTACCTATGTGATAAAAAGCCGTAGACGTAGGTTTAAGTCTATAAGTTTCGATATATGTCACCTAAAACGTCGAATTGATTCCCCATGCAGCAAAGTTCGGATAATATATGATTTCCTACTTACCTTTCACTTGAAAGTAAGGTAGCTATATAGCTGGATATGCAGAAAGTACACAGTCAATGTGCGCCCGAAAACGCTTTACTTTATTATTAAGTGCGTTCTCCTTCGATCACTGGTTGCTGTAATTAACAAAAAAAATAATGTTCAATACTTTGGCAGATTCGCAGCAAGATATCCACAATGAGTGCACGGCATGCTGCTAATAGGAATGAAAATATCGACCGAGCTCCATGGAAGAGATACAATTTAGAATACCGAGATTAACGGGCCATTTCAAAGCGATAGAAATTAAAAAATCATTATCCGGTGAATAGCGCTATCCGGCTTTCATACAACCGCCTCCGGTTGTTTCAGCTTTATTCAAGAAGCAAACTAAATTTTTTTAACCTTAATACAAAGATACTGTTTACAACTAAATAATTATTCAGTGCTTAATATTCAAGTACTCATTTAAGGCCGGAAATGTAAGCGTGTTACTTAATTTTAACTTATCCACCGTTTAAGCTAAATGGGCTTGATACAACCGGCCCCAGGTTATTAAGTTACATGCAAGTGGTTACAAAATTGTCATACATTTATACTTAATGGTATAATATGTTATCACAATAGAACTATCGAGAATTCAATTCAAAATTATTCAATCGTTATAAATAAATCCGGATGCGCGTGGGAGACGTGTGAAATTGCGCCATTATCAAGGGTCAAGATCACTGACCTATATTCCAGTAAGGTCAGTGGTCACTGACCTATATTCTAGTAAGGTCAGTGGTCAACACTTGTGAATTACCTCACGAGCACTGCTATTTTAGACAATTTTCCATTGCAGTCGTTTTACCTGTGCGGGCGAAGCGCGCTTTGTTTTTCAGACCCGTCACGGTCGCATGGACAGAATTTAAAGGCTGCTTCTCCCGCGCGGGTGAAGCGAACGTTAATGGAGAATCTCTTTTACTCTGAGGAGTCCTAATTCTTTTATGATGGTACCACATGGTTCCACGTCGTCCTCAAAAGAGGTATTCGGTTTTCCAGCTAGGATGGCAATTGGAAATCAGACGCCATTTAACATTATAATAACAAATATTCATACTCACATGCACAGTTTCTGGATAGTTTTCCTCTCACAATGTTTCACCGAATTGTGCTGCCATGAAAACACCCCCGAAAATTTGTCACATTTGCATATTATATCATTAGAGCTTTAGAGGCGTTTTATATGAGCCAGGTTACCCGAGATTCAACGAACTATGAGATGATTTTGAGGTATTGAAATGAGCAGATAGCATGATCCTGGCAGTCGTATAATCACCACAACAATGCATGCACAATACAAGGGGAAAAAAATAAAATTACGCATATAAACTTAAATATAAACTAGAGAGAACTACATTACCTAATATTAGAATTCCGACAACGAGATATCTGTAGTTGAAGGAATGTTTAAAGTTCTCCAGGAACGACTACCACGAACACACACAACACTAGCGCGAAGAATAGCGAAAGCTATCTTCTTACGTAACCAGTTGTGAACGATGGAGGTGCTAAAGTTCTTTTTCTCAGCCAGTTTGCCTGCTAGGAACGAAAGGAAGTGAGAAGTCTCCCTTCCACATCCACCATAGGCACTAAAAACGACTGGGGTGAAGGAGCCATGTTCAACTTCAACAATTAAAGCATGTGCTTGTTTGGTGCCAGTCATAAAGATATATTTCAATACCTCAAAGCTCCCTCACGCTTCATTGAATCTCGGGTAACCGGGCTCATGTAAACAGCCCCTAAGACGAAATGAAGTTTAACCATCTCATTATTACTCCGCCTGCGTATGCGCAGCGGAGTCTTAAAATGCCATGGTCTTTTTTCCTTTTCGTCGTTTTGGGCGACAGAAGTTGGCATTTCTACAGGTAACCCAAAACATTTTGACCGAGAAGCCCTGGGTTACACGGTCCACGGATGAATTAGGTACATCAGTTGGCATGCAAGCGGAGTGAACGCCTTGAACAGGCGTCTTGTCTATTGTTTAAATTGCATTCGACACAACTAAAACGCGACGTATACAGTATACTAAGCTTCAATGGCTATCTACAGGGTGTAAAAAAATACCATAATTTGTATGCACTTTAGAATTTGAATGGCTGTTCAACTAATTACGTTTCTGGGATTTAAAAATACGTTTCCCAGGGTTATCATGTTTACTAACGCTCCCTAACCATTGTGCTTTCCGTACCCTTGTGTTATGTGCTTAATTTTCTAATAAACACGACTTGGGACGGAGGTTGAGTTTGCTCGTATACGTTTAAAACAAGAAATTTTCTTAGTTCTGTTCTTAACTGAGCCATTCGTGATCCAACTCATAAGTTTAATTCACTTTGTGTGCTTGTTTTGATAACCCTGGGAAACGTATTTTCAAATCCCAAAAGCGTAAATAGTTTCACAGTCATTGAAATTCTAATGTACATCTCGTGCATGCAAATTATGATAGTTTCAGTATTTTTAATACACCCTGTAGAGAAAACACTATACTGCAGCATTATCAAACTATATTTATAGCTATGAACGATAAACCTAGATTGATTGGGGGACACTTTTATATGAATATATCAACAGTGAATCATTTACCTCATTGCAGTGCATTTTACCCACGATTAGATTATTTCCATACAAACACGACAGCATGTTGATGTCATAAACTTTGTATTCATTATACCGGCATAAACTTTCCCGCAATGAGACCTTTATTCGCTTTTTGCAGGAACTATATACCAATATACAAATCCTTATACTTAAAAAGTCTCGCGTATCACATCTTTGTCTATAGAGTCTGTATTAGACATTTTAATTTTGTTCAAGCGATCACAAATCACAGATATGTGTTACTCCTCATAGTACTGTCTGGTTTCCATTTAATTGTGCGTGTTGTGAGCATGTCAGGTGGCTCATGTGATACTATTTCCCATCGGTTAAAATGACTTGTTATTGCTTGTTAACCACTAAATAACTAAACGAAGCTTAGGGGCTGTCTACATAAGCCCGGTTACCAAAATTTAACGAAGCGTAAAATGGACTTTGAGGTATTGAAATAAGTAAATAACACAATTCTGGTAGTCGTGTAATCATCCTAACAATAGCATGTGATGTGATTGTTTTGTTTCAAAAAACAACTATGCTATTTTTTGACAAAAATTTCACCCGGGTTTTCTCAAATTCTTCGTGCGGCCCTAGTCGATATAATAAAGTATATAGACAGTTTGCACTGAGTTTTACAAAATCACTATAATTCATATACCGTATATATACGATACGAGTATTGAATGTATGTGCTCATCTAGTTATACGGGATTTATTATAAACAAAATCCAGATATGTAGTAACCGCACTGCCTGCTTTTAGCTAGATTATTTGATAATCAGCAATTATGATGTGACAGACACAGTTTTTAAAATTTGCATTATTAGTCTATACTTAGTGTATCATTAAAAAGCAGTGTCATATACTCCACTATCTCTTGAAGAATTTTCGTCAAATTGCGTCACCCCCAATGTCGGATCTCCAGCGATGTTTTCATGTTTTGGCAAAATTGCTTCCATCACTTCCATGTAAGGTTTTACGTTTATGTAGACAACCTGAGAAAGTCAAAATGAGAAATTTAATGATGTAACTATAAAACGCAATAGCTTCTTTCAAAGGAAAATTAGAAAATATTAGTAAAAATCTTAAACATGATCATTATTAATTTTTTTATTTGTGTTGTTATTTAAACAACATGTTTTGGGATCAGATATTTTAGACTATATAAACATTTTTTGAGCCATGCAGCTGCAGTCTTGGGCGTGATTGACGCGAGATGATGCCTATTACAGAATTGGAAATTCTTTTCATGTCTTCAGTTTTTTAAAAATACTTTACAGTTGAAAATTTAATATCGCCTTTAAAAAAATTGTATCGTTTGCCTTTGTGGGACTTTCATTTCAATCAATTACCTTATTTAAGTTAAGCATATTCAGCAGGGAGTTGTAAATTTCACTAAAACTTGGCCTCTCTTCAGGAACTTCTTTCCAACATCTTGCCATTAACGAGAATCTGAAACAATGATGGCCCCACGTACATTTTCTCTTGAAAAATCAAAGTCTCCTCATCTCTAATTTGGACTTAATCTTTAACAATGCTACCCTAGCTGCAGAATACTTTTAAAAATTGCGGGAACAATGCTTATTTTGGAGAGCGATTCAGTGTGAGCTTCCTTCCAATTAGCTATTTGACAATATTTCGCCTTCAGAATATGAAAAATCTATATTTGAATTTCTATTTATATAGAAATTCGTGGAAATTTATAAATTTCTAGAAATTTGTCAATAATGATATCCAATATTGCAACTTACATTTCGTTGCTGCAATGTTCTGGTTTGGCCATTCTTTCACCATCATGTAGGTATTCCAATATATCATAGGGTGAAACGTCTGGGTAAGGCTCTTCAGCTAAAATGGTGGACAATAAAATTAATAACGAATTTTACTGGTGCTGCTTACTATCAGCGACGGAGTTAGGGCAGAATAAATAAACTACCCTATTAACAAAGCTGTTGGTTATAAATAATTTTTTTGACCTTGAATATCCTGTCTATTTTCTTTGCATAAGAAGTCAGAAGTGAAATATATAAATCCAAGCACTAAGTTATTTTTCATGTGGACAATAGCGAAGTAGCTATCGGTAACACTTACCAAGCGTGCAAATCTCCCATAAGAGTATACCATAGGACCATCTGCATTTCAAAGACAAATTCAGTTTATATTATATATCTATGCGCTGCTGTTAGCATGATCAATTGAATTTATTCGTCATGCAATTTCGTTAACATTATTTTAATTGGGAAAGCATTTCTTTTTAAAGGTGAATCTGTCTAAAAAGGAATTGAATTGAGGTTTGGCTAAAAATTGTAGTACAGTATTTAAAACTATTCTTAGCACAATTATGATTATAGTTGAATTTGATAGCTCGAGAGTCAACTTTGTAGTTGTTCTTGATATAAGGTTTTACTTATACTACTTCGATCATTTAGCAGAAACAAGTATTATAGAATTTCACTATTGAAGATATTATCGGTTTATTGCTTCAGGCGAGGGGATTTTTCATGCATGTTTTTCTATATAGTATATTGTTTATGTTTATATATACTGTGGGGACAATAGCGTACAAAAGAAATCAGTCGATGAAAATTTAAACATCCTTACATGTCTGAAGCTGCAGTGAAACGGCTTTCTTCCAAAGCTTCTATTGACATCCATTTAACAGGTAGCATTTTCTGAAAATTAAATAAAGTAAATCAACGTTTTTACCGGTTACGTTTAACGTTACTTTTGCCTATTATCAGTGGCGAGGCTAGAGCGATAATTGGGGACTGTTTATTCATATATTCGGTTCTGCATGACGGATTGCTATTGTAAACTATTACACTTACAAAAGAAAACTATAAACTATTAAATAAACAATACCCCCTCCCACCCAATTATCGTTCTAGATAAGCACTGACTAATACGTCGTTGCAACAAAATGTTTCCAAATGTTTAAAAACAGTATATGCATGTATACGTTTTATATTTAGATTATTTTTCGTTGTCTAAGAAATCTTGCTAAATACAATAGTACCTACGTTTTTGTTTATAACGTACTGCGCAGTGACGTCAATTCTTCGTGCCAGCCCAAAATCAGCGATCTTAGGAACAAGCTGTTCATTCAAGAGTATGTTGCGGCTTGCGATATCTCGATGAACGACCTATCGATAATATATCGCAAAAAAAATAGAAAAAAATTATGTTAATGCATAAGAGATGCAACATGTTCTGATACTTAATAGAGCAAAAAAGAGGTTTTTGTAATGTTATAGCCCACCTTATAGGCTATAGCGTACAAGAAGGTTAAAAAAAACGCTACTTTTGGAAATTAATTTCGATAGAATACTTTGGTAAGACTGGAAATTAATTGTTAATTATTGTAAATGCTACCGATTAATTACTAAAATTTATGCGGGTTTCTTCTAAAATTACATTAACCAATAGCGACTCAGTGGTTAGGCAGACTAAATGTCGATTAAGGTAGTTTAGAGTACATTAAAAAGTTTTTTCTTTTATTTTGAAAACAATTGAAATCTTTTCATGCCACATTGCAAGCGAAGTTCTCTGAGTGAAAAAATCTTCAATAACTATATAGTTACCCAGACCAAACACGCTCAAAGGCGGAAAACAGATTTTTGTGTACACGATAACAAATTAGGTTTAACGCTAGAAGGACGGAATTAGTTTTTTTTAGTTTTAAATATTTTGGCCTCGGAGCTGAACCTCAAATAAATAAAGCTTTTCCAGTATTATACATTTTACAGGCTATAATCCAGTATTAAACATTTTACAGGCTATAATCTATAATCCAGGCTTGCATCCCTGGAAACTTTCAAACAGGATAAATCGTAATTTTCAATGTACTACACGTACCACCTTAAAACTTTTTTCCCATAAATTTCTGTATTTTTTCAAACGTATTATTTAGAAAACCAAAACCAATAACCATAAGGTATTTTGAATTTATAATCCCCGAGCGGGCGCGGAGCGCCTGCGAGGGTACTAATTCCGCTCGGAGATTAGGAATTACACCCGGAACCCGGTAGAACATAGGCGAATCCAAAGTTGTCCAAATTCTTTGTCATGGACGGTCGACGTTGGGTGGTTTTGTAAGTTATGCGCATGCGCGAGTAATGTCCGGTAATCAACGAACGTTCTGATTGGCTGAGACAGAAAGTTTGTATTTCAATGAGAACGTCAGCAATTAATAAACATTTTTGTAAAAGCGTTTCATAAACTTTGTGCAAAAAGTAAAACGAGAAGAAACAAGATATATGAAGCATGACAGTTAGCAAAGATGAACGTGGATACGGTCAAGACAAAGCCGTGTAAGAGGAATAATTCATAATCTTCAAACTTATAAATGTTTTCAAAGACAAAGGGTACGTGTTTACTTTGTTTATTTCGTATTTGATTCGCGATAAGAATGAGCCGTATTTGTATACTTTTCAGCTTTGTATGCCGTTTATTTGTTAAATTTTCAGCTTTTTATGCAAACGCATTAACCTGTGAAAGGCTATTACACCTTTGCTTTAACTTCAAAAAGTGTTTTTGAAAGTGTAATTTGAATTTTGGTATCAAAAATACACACTATTTATAAAGTATAAAACTTTTAGCCGCCGGCGTTGACTGCAATTACAGAATAAAATAGCATTTGAAGTTTTTTCTTTGTCTGTGAAGATTTTGTACTGTTTTAATCGTTTGAAACTTCGATTTTAAACCGTTACTTAATTGCTGGCATGGTATAATGCAGCAAAATTGAACGGGCAATGTTTACACTAGCTTTATAATTATTTTTGTATTGAATGATGGAAACATTAGCGATAATATACTCGGTAAAATATAATAAGACTGATTTGAGTTTTGTGTCATTTCATAATATAAGTTTAGGTCAGGTTAACTCAGGAAATTGTGTACTCGGTTTGAAATAGCGAGGGGTTGCTGCGTGCATGTATTTCTAGTTAGGTTGTGTAATGGTCCTTTTGCATAATGGACCAACTTAAGATCTAGGCAACAAGAAGAAAATAAATCACCACCGCGAAATTAGTATAATTGCCACATGCCAAGTATCACGGAAAGTATTGCCATTCAAATAGCCAATTTTGCATACTTTTTAACTAATTTAGTTGCACATTTCCCGCCGAAGTATAAAATAGTATACAAAATTGTCAACTTCACATGGCTATATTTTCCGCACTTTAGAATATTTTGTAGCCAAACTTGGTAATTTTACTACATTTAGTATGCTCTTTTCGGAAATTTCCTTTTTATTTCCTAAATCAATTAGGCAATGGCATAATAGACCTGGTCTATTATGCGAAAGGTACATTAATTGTGTCTGACCATAGATGCGCCACTATGGCCACATTTACCTTTTTCTCGAACAAGAATTTCATTCCTCTCGCTATGTCGACTGCAAAATTAATGAGCTGTCGTTCAGTGAGTGAGGAATAAATATTAATATATTGTTGGTGCGGTTCTTCATTTGTTCGACTCCCTTGTAGCAAATCTTTAAGATTTCCCCGTGGGCAAAACTCCATGATCAATAATACTGGAACTAAAGCAATGATAAATTGGCTGTTAACAAAGGTTCGGACAATTGACAATTGCTCAAGTCACTTAATTAATTTATTCTTTAATAAAAACATTAAACATCATCCAAGTAATGTTGCGTTGTATTTATCATTAACTTTATAGACCTTTGCCCAACACTGCAGAAATTGGTGTTTATGAAGTTTCAACCCGAAATTCTGATCACTGGTTTATCTTGTGCATTGCTGTATCGCTATCAAAGAGAAAACTATTAAGGCCCAAACAGACCGGACGCGAATTGGCAACGCATCGCGAATTGGCAACGCGGCGCGAATTTTCAACGTTTTTAATTTTTCAAAATCAAATAAATTTTAAACTATCATAATATTCTTGTAGATTACATAACAATAAAACATTTTGACTCCTCTGGCGTCCATAGTTTCCAAATTTTGCTTCCACAATTTAATTTATATGCTTCTGAAAACTCAAAATTCGCGTCGCGTTGCCACATCGCGTCCGGTCTGTGTCGGCCTTTAACTTCACGTCCGCGTCGTAGATTTTGATTTACTAGTATAATGTGGGAAAATTCGATGGAACTGATCACTTGGTACAAATCGAGTTTCTGATTGGATAATTGTCAGTCGAGTCGTATATGAGCTTATAGCCGACGAGGTGCGTGGCTATCAGCCATATACGACGAGGTAGGAGTGGTATAATTGTTTTATATTATAGCCAAATACCATTTGTTGAGCGACAAAAGTATTTATTAACAATTTAATACACATTTATATAAAAAATAAAAATTAATTAATTCAATTATGTGCAACGAGTCAGGTACTTCCGCCATTTTGCTTTTTCTTTGGTTTTGCTACCCACCATAGACCAATTGCGAAACTTAGTGACCGCGCCTTCGTGCAACATGGAAACGAGGCTTATCATGCAAAAAACAATATTTGTATTTTTTGTAGTACAAAGCTATTCGCCGAGTTATATGCCGCTTTTCGCCTTTGTTTTACATATTTTTCGATACCTTTCAGCTTGGTTTCATCGTTGTTATCATAGTTTTCAGGTTAGGAAGTTTTGCCTTTCAATTGAGGCGTTTTTGTGGTATTTTCATTACTCTTTTCGGCTGCTTTTGTCGGGGAAGTATGGAAAAGGCCGACACAAACTCAGGTAAAAAGTTAGTTTTTCCAAACTATTTCGTCTCAAGTTTTGAAAATGTGTTTCATTTTTCTCCCTCTTATTTTTGCAAAATTTGGCGATGTATATTTGGTGCAAAATCTATGTTTTTTTTGTCAAAAATTATTGAAAAGTGACAGTCAGATTATATAATTTTCAAACCTGATGACTGAAATGGCTTCATTTATTCAAATTTATTCACAAATATCACTGTATTTTTTTTTCTTTATACCACAGTAATACTGTTAAAATGGTCAAAAGTAACTGACTGAAATGTTTTTGTTTATTTTCGTTTTAATAAAGTACAGACGATGCATAGCTTGCATGCCAGCCTGAAGGCCGAATTTTATCAAAGTCGAATTCGAATGCATCTGAGTTTGCATCTGAATTCTGCCGCATTTTTGTTAGTACAAAACACTATTCTTTCTATCTACTACCATGCAATAGATGTTTAATAAGGGTTAACTAGGAATACTTGAAAAGGAAAGGATCCCATTCACCATCGTAAACGGAAAAACACTTGCGAACTCCGGTTTAAATATTTTTCGCTTTCGGCTTTGCCATCATGTAAAAGGTGTATCTTAAAAAAACGCTGCAGCTCGCATTGTGGCTACCTTTATAGTATGTTATTGCCGGAAAAGGAATATTCAAATGGCAATTCAAAATAGACAATGATATTATGTCTTGGTTATAAGTATTTTACTATCCATGTCATGCATGTGTGCCAAGTTGAAGAGTTGTTTTGCTTTTCAGTCGGCATCACATCACATGTACTGTACTCTGTAGCTATATACACAGGGAAAATAAACATAAAACTCCGTTGCTTATTTTATCTCTTATCGTTTTTGTCAACAGATTTCTACTATTTTTTTTGCTGAGCTGAAAAATTGCTGTCAAATTACATCTTATCGATCGATAAAATTGGTATAAAAAAATTTTAGATGAGAAATGTGAAGATGGTGGTTTGTTCGATCGTGACTTTTCAATAATTTTTGACATAAAAAAACATAGATTTTGCACCAAATATATGTCGCCAAATTTTGCACAAATAAGAGGGAGAAAAATGAAATATATTTTCAAAACTTGAGACGAAATAGTTTGGAAAAACTAAACTTTTACCTGAGTTTGTGTCGGCCTTTTCTATATTTCCCCGACGAAAGCAGCCGAAAAGATTTATGAAAACACCACAAAAACGCATCAATTGAAAGGCAAAACTTCCTAACCTGAAAACTATGATAACAACGATGAAACCAAGCTGAAAGGTATCGAAAAATATGTAAAACAAAGGCGAAAAACGGCATATAACTCGGCGAATAGCTTTGTACTACAAAAAATACAAATATTGTTTTTTGCATAATAAGCCTCGTTTTCATGTTGAGCGAAGGCGCGGTTACTAAGTTTCGCAATTGGTCTATATATGAGCTAAAATACGGTGGGTAGCTCGACCAACCAGATTGCGAAATAGCTCATATACAGTGCGTAGCTATATTATAATTCAGGATATATTAAGTTGTTTCAACGGAGAAACGGTTTTTTAGTTGACAACTAAAATCAGTCCCTTTCTGCCATTTCTGATCACCTGGATGAAATCATAGCGCTAAAAACGTTTGCAGAATGACGCAATAATCGTAGACATGATAGCTATCGTAGCACTTACTACGATTAAATATCCAGCAGGCTAACGTCTTCTCTTGTGTAGTTTGTGTGTGTAGTTAATTTCAAAAATTATTTCATTCACGTTCACAGATAATTGGTATTGGTATAATAACTGATTAATGACCGAGTGTGAGGTCTGTATGTGAAATATCAGGCCGAGGCTTTTTAGTATGGACCGTGCAAAGAAGGAGCAAAGTTGATCCGAGGTTGATTTGGTTGTAAAACGTTTACATTTGGAATCGCTAAATTTTATAAACAAATATCAGCATATCTGACACTGTTTTTGTTTGTTATATTTAAGAATATGTTCCAAGGTATATTTTTAAAAATATATGAAACATTCAAAACTTGAGCAAATAAATATTTTATATAAAGAAGCCCATCCTTTATTTTGTTATGAACAGACCGCATTTGCAAAAGCCGCTATTACCCGCCCTCCTTAGACCTTGAAAAAGAAATGCACGCAGTTTGGCAAGTCCACAAGATAACGAATAGCACGCATCAGCCGCCGGTTGTATCAAGCCCGTTTAGCTTAAAAGGCGGATAAGTCAAAATTAAATAACACTCTTACAACTCTCTTGAATGAGACAACTTGAATATTATGCACTGAATATGTAGTTGTAAACTGTATTTTTGTATTAAGGTAAAAAACATTCAGTTTGCTTCTTGAATAAAGCGATAGACTTGCTTTCTATTTTGAACTTATCCACCGTTTAAGCTAAACAGGCTTGATACAACCGGCCCCAGAACTTTAAGTGTTTAACTGTAGCTCCACACTGAAAATTAGATGTTGTATGTATATCTTGCTTTTATCGCAGAAAATGCAAAGTGGTGCCCCCGCATGTCCCGTGGGTGAAGAGCAGTTGGGAAACTTGAAGTTTCCACTGCTTCCTTCCGCCTTGGATCCAGAGCCCTTGCTCTAAATCAAGCTGACAAGTCTATAAAAATTAATACCTGTTTTTGTACATCCACCAATAAGTTTAATAATATTTTCATGTCCATCTTCACTCACGTATTTTAGGATATCAAATTCCCTCAGCAATTCATTCCAATTGTTTTGTCCACGATTGACTAAATCAATCAAAACAGAATGCCAGTCCCTTTGAAAAGTTTATACCTGTATACCTATTTAACCCTCAAAGATTATGATGGCATTAAATTGGCTTTGCACATGCACAAATAAGTCAGAGAATTATAATCCACCCTAGCTCCTCCGTAAAACGAGTGACCAATGAAAGAGCGGACAAAAAAAATACAAAGCGACCCCATCAAACGAATCGTTTATAATAGTAAAAATTACATGAACCAGCTCATACTCACAAAGGCAAAGAGTGCAGGCTCATAAAAAAGTTAAGGAGACTTCACTGCTTTCTCGTCACTGCAAGTTCTACTCACTGCAAGTTCTAATTGTTCTTTTTAAAATGGTTCAAACTACTTAACCGATATAGTAATATGAGAGCAAACAATTTAATGAAGCAATTCACTGACATGCATATAGCAATACAGAATGCAAAGCGGTGAAGTAAAATAATCGGATGACTTACGGTTTTAAAGATACATTCTAAACTGAATTTTTGGATTGGAGATATACTTCACCCGATTTCAAAAACTTTCTTCGATTTTTAGACCTTAGAAAAACCACAATTTGTTTGATGCATTTCAGCCGTGGCGTAGCCAGCCGGACAATTTGGTCATGCTATGCACATTTCAAGTGATTACAATCATTCTATGAAAAATTCTTTGAAAATTCATTGTTTTCACTGCCAATGAACACCAAAATATTAGCATAGCATGACTAAATTGTGAGGCTGGCTACGCCATTGTATTTCAGAACCTTTTAACGTCTTTACGGCGACTTGTGTGGCTTGATGCTGATCATAATTTGAAAACGATTTCCTCAATATGCCTTCTTTGACAAGCCCAAAATAACCTCCTCCCAATGTGTTGTCCAAAACATCCAAACGATCACGATTGAGTTCCCATGGTGGCAAAGCTGAAAATAAAGCATGAGACTATGCGTAATCCTGTCAATTAAACGTTCTCTAAATAGACACTTCTCGAATTCCTATCTCCAGCCATGAAAACCATCCCACTAACAATAGATTCATATAACCGACATTATTATCCATTACTAATGCAATCTCGATTGTGATTGGCTAAAAACCTACAGATAATTCTCAATGTCTTGCCACCTACACGACATTGAAAATTATTCGTAGGTGACGTAATTTTTTGCCGCTATAGTTTGTAGTCAATAATGGCGCAGGCTACCTCTCTAAAAAGGAAATACATAATAAAACAATTATTGAATTCGGTTTTCGCATGATATCGAGAATAATCAAGCCTCAGTCTGCGTTATCCGCCTCAGCTTCGCTTCGGCAAATAACGCAAACTTCGGCTTGATAATTCTCGATATCACACTCAACCTCATCCAATAATTGTTAATTATTATACACACAAGCGCCAGATATGAGGTATCCTGCAATTTCATTTGTTGGCTACTAGACAGATATTAGCTCATATCTGTCTAGTAGAGAAAGTAAACAAAATAGCTGAAAGAAATGGGGAGTTGAGTGAAAAAGAATTATAGAAATCCAAGCTCTAGTTGATAATAGCACACCAAAATGCACCGAAAGGGCGACAACGTTTGTGTATATAATAAGACAGTACGCGCCTCGTCGGCTATCAGCTCATATACGACTCGAGTTCGCAGAATAACTGTTAAATAGATGACATTACCCGCCTCGCTTCCAAGCTATTGTTTTCATTGTGTGCACTCAAGAAAATTCGGGAAGTGTCTATATGCACATTAAAATGCGTAAATAGATAAATTAAACTTTACTTGTATTACCATCAGAAACACTTGATGCATCTTCTTCGTAATATTCTGGGTAGAGGATTCGAAGATTATTATTGCAGGAAGTTTTCACAGTATTTAAAACCATCTGCAGAAAATAATACGGAAATTAACATGTGGATTTAACATTACTTTGATGCAGTTATTTCGATTGTTGTAAATTACGGAAAATATAGCCATGCGAAGTTGTCGAAATTTGTATACTTTGTGTATTACGGCTGGAAGCGTGTAACTAAATTAGTTACACATTTTCGCACGTAACAAAAAAGTATACCAACTATGCAAACTTAATTCACATGGCTATATTTTCCATAATTTACAACAATTCGGAACCAAACTTGGCATTTGGACTAATTGAAGAACGTTCTCACTAGCTGTGGTGATTCATTTTCTTCTTATATTACATGGATAAAAAAAAGTCAAAAGCGAAAGTCGTCCAATGATTTGCGGGTCATTGCAGTGTAAAAGGAAGTTTCAGAATGAAAAGGCTATTAATATAATAACCGCGGAAAGAAAAATAAATTTTTATCTTTATCGATGAGATGCATGATCGAGACATCAGCAAAATAGGCATTTTAATTTGTTCTCGTGCATAACCAGTAGTAGCATAGCCATGCAGACTGACGATTTGTCCCGCTATGCTAATATTTTGGTTTTCATTGACTGTGACGACAATAAATTTCTATAGACATGAATAATTATAATAACTCGAAATTCACATAGCGGGACAAAATCGTCAGGCTGGTTACGCCACTGGCCAGAAGGCTGCTTTTTCAAATAACTTCGCGTATGATGCAAAATGATACAAAAGCACTTCAAAAGCCTTCGTCAGGTGTGATAAATTAGTAATGTGATGCTAGCCACACTAATTTTCCTAATTACTAACCAGAGAAACTCTCTCGTGTATTTTATCATGCAGTTGTTATGCCACATTTGATTTCGCTCTTGTTCCTATCAAATTACCGCGTTTCTTCATGAATTTATGCCTTTTTACGATTTAAAATCACCTCATTATTTTTTTTCATCATTCTGTTTCTTCTTCGAGATCGCACAACAAATATAACCAGAATACATATAACCGTCATACAAGTTATGGCGACAGCTATGATAATAATTATCAAAGACGTGTTCTGTTCTGTGATGGTTTCACCAATTCGTTTTCCGCTTTTAGGATCTGAAACACATACATAAACGTTGTACATATTGGCCCTATTGTAGATAACATTGGCATCAGTATTGCCAGTCCTTATCGAATGTGAAACAGAGAACTTTGAAATTCAAGATATTTATAATTTGTTATAAATATTTATAATATTAATAATATGATATTCATAATATTTCCGGCTCAAAAGTTCATCGTTATTTTCACCTTGCGAAATGCAATATCACGTTTTGGATCGGAATTTGTGAGAAATTAACGAAGCTCAAACAAAGTTATAGCAAACAACGGGCGATTTTAAAGCGATTGAAAAAATCACTATCCGGTGGATAACGATATCCGGCTTTCATACAACCGGCCCCTGAGCGAGAAATAAACAAACTTACCAACGTGTGTGAAACTTATCCAGTTGCTGGATCTCCCTTTCGTTTCGCCGCTCAACCCAGCAACCGAGACTGTGTAGTTAGTATTTAGAGAAAGATCATTTAAGGCGACGAACGAACTCTCGCTAGACGTTTTCGTGTCGTAAGAAAGATTTCCGTTTCTTAGAGTAACAGTGTAACCAGTAATGACATCGAACTCTTCATGTTGCTCAATAATCTTCCACTGAACCACAGCGGAATCAACCGAAAGAATGGTAACATCCACATTGGTTGGTGAAGGAATTGTATCTAAAATAGAATAAATTCATATAATTCACTTCAGAAAGAAACTCTGAACTGCCTTTGTTTCGGTAGCCTGGACATTAATAAAACTGGGCACCATTACCCATGCATTTTAGCCTTGCCGTGCTTGTCATGCATGATATAGTCATACAACTTTTAATTTAACATAAAAACTATTTTTTAGATAAGAAAATAAAACGTATTTGGTTGGTTCCTGTCAGCTTTCATCTCGCGGATAGAAGGTGTGCGTTCATGATATGACTCCAATCAAGATTTTTGAAGAAAAACTGATTAATTTTATCGCCCCGCGCTGGCGAAATCGCGTCAGTGAAAAGTCAGTTACAGCTAGTATTTTTGTTCACGGTTGAATTAGTACATTCCATACCCAATGTTGTAAAGTTGTATTTCAATGTATTTCCATCGCCATACCGGGTAAAACCACGAACCCAAACAGCATATTTCGATTTTTTTACTAAAGCTGGTAGCGTGTAATCAATGCTATCATTGGATAAAGTTACGTTGAACTCTCGGTTCTTGCCATACAAAAAAACTTTGTATCCCAACAAAACACCGTAAAACTTCGCGTCAGCCTGAATCTTCTCCCACCTAATTTCCGCCGCAACTGACGATATCTTTGCTGGGAAAATTTGGTTTGGCTTTGCAAGTTTACCTGAAATACATAATGGGTGATGTTAGAGAACCGTTGCTGGAGGACAAATTAACGTTGCATAAATTTTGCAAAAACGTAAATTTTGGGCAAAATACAGAAATATTTACTGGTTTGAGGAACTTTGTTAACTGCTGTTGACCGCTATAATTATAAACCTTGACCGCTCGCATAACAATTATTTTTAGTAAAGCAAGGAAACATCTGGATCGGAGGACAACTTTTAATGATTATGGCGTCAGTGCAATAAGTCTATATTTGACGATATTGACGAAAAGCGCATTTCTAGCGATATATAGCTTTAGTTATTGCCATGCTATTATTTTCATTCATAATTACCTGGCGAGTAAAACTGAACGGTGCCGATTACCGAATCACCTTTCTCCGTTACAGATTCGATGCTTACGGTGTATGTTTCTCTCATTGTCAAGTTGCCGAATGTAACGCTTGATTCATGGTACCTTCTAATGATTTCGTGACGTTGTTTCTCACTCTTCAAAGAAACATTGTAGCTAGTAGACGTTGTATTTAAATCAGGATGCCCAACCCAACGGACGGAAGCAACGGTCAATTTCAAACTCACAACTTAAAAACGAAAAGTTCATTGCATTAATGATGAAATGAGTAACCAACATATAAGCGATGTTTTGGTGGTAGTGTTTGTTTGATTTTTTTTTTAAAGAAAGGATTTCGCCTCCTTTTTGCTCAGAAAAACTTGCTTAGTAGTATGGCAAGAATAAATTTTAATGTTATCCAGAGTAAAAAAGTGGACTATAGTGGTCACATAGTGGGATTTCCAGTCACATACATAGTGGAAGCTGTTTCATGTCAATATACGAAATATGGCAGATATATTCATGTTTGTAGTACTTACCTTCGACATATAGTACGAACACCTTTTTAGAATACACTCTGTCTAACGTACTTATGGCTACGCATTGAATGCATAAGGAAAATTTTCTGCCAACGATAGCAACTGTTGAGTTAACAAAAAAAGCATTTTCCCCATTCACATTATCGATAGGCTTGGTATCAACATTAACACTCATCCTCTCCTTCCAAGTGCTCGTGGAATTGATCCTTGAGCCATTCAATAACCACTTTACATCAGGTTTAGGTATCCCAGAACCAATACACGAGACTTCCAGTTTTCGTGGGTTAATTTGAACCGACATACGTAAAATTTTTGGAGCTAACGCATCTAAAATATAATTCATTATTTGAATCATACGCATACTTTTTACTGGTTGCATTAAATGCAATAATGCTTGAATGCCTTAATTTCGTTTTTCTTTACTTAATGATTATTAACATGAGAAAATTGCTGGATGCTGATTGGTAAAGGTGGTCTTTTAAAAAAAATTATTTCATTTTGAAAAATATAGAAATCTTTTCATGACATATTGCAAGCCAAGTTGCTCTGAGTGAAAAAAGGCTTGTAGGAATCTTCAATCACTATAGTTACCCATACCAGACACATCCAATGGTAGGAAATTGACGATTTTTGTAAAAACGATGACAAACTAGGTTTTAACGACGTAATTTTGAATCTTTTCATAAACTATAGAGAACAATACAACAGAACAATGATACAACAGAATAAGCCAATGGACTCTTTTGTTAGCTCGGGATGAAATCCTAATTCATATCACTTTTCGTTTAATTCAGGTTTTCTTCATATATTTTTTTGAAAAAATATTCAGGATCGATTAGGGAGCCATATAAGTTTGCACCCTTGAAATTCTAAGAACAGAATAAATCGTGTTTTTTGTGTAGAAGACCACCTTAAGAACAGTACAGCCATTTCATTATTTGTACTGCATTATATTACTAATATATAATACTACTTACAAGCCGTTCTCACATTACTTTCAAAAACGCATTTTTAGCCGCAGAATTTTTTTCACGGGAATGTTTTGTACAGGATGTGTCATTCTGAAGGACCCACTGCATAAAATGGCGTAGGAAGCACGGTAATTGGGAGGGGGGGCATATATTCATATATTCATGTTGTGCAAGTTTAATTTCTTTTCAAATAAATTGTTTTTACTAGTCTGTTAACATTGATATATGAATATGTGACCCCCTCCCCCAGTTATCGTCAGTGGCGTAGCCAGCCTGACGATTTTGTCCCGTTATGTAAATTTCGAGTTATTATAATTATTCATGTCTTTAGAAATCTATTGTTCTCACAGTCATGCAGTGAACACGAACATATTAGCATAGCGGGACAAATCGACAGGCTGGCTACGCTATTGGATATCGTGTTTCCTACGCCACTGGACTCTAAATTCTTGCTATGCCAAACAAAGATCCCATAGAACAATACACACTAGTCCCGTTTAGCCGAGCTATGGTTAAGCATCACCCGCTTTTAAACACTTTCACGAATTTCATAATCATAATCAGTAATAAATTGTAGCCTTAAGACGCCATAAAGAGACCTACCAGTGACTGTGAGATTCACTTGAGCAGCGTTACATGGCGCTTTACTTGCAGTAAGAAGACACATGAATTTATCGTCTTTGGTAACCCCAGTGACTGTAACACTGCAGGAGAGAGTTTTATAACGAAGAACTTCTTCAACTTCACATTTGTGTAGGTCATTATCGTTCTTACGAAATTCCACCCTTGTCATATATCCTTGGTTTGGGTGATTAATCTGACAGAGCCGGTACATTCCAATGTTATAATGGTGTCTTTTGTCACATATGGGTAAGGTGTCGCTCTGTAAGATATGTTTGGTATCAGAGTTTCTTTAAAAGAGAAAAGAATAACCAATAATAACCAATGGCGTTGTTATTAAGGTAATACCGTATATTTAGTCTGTCAGCGTTCTTTTGATTGTGTAATTTTAACTGTTGGCCTTCATGGCGGCCTAATTTTTTTCTTCAAATATGGCGCCTAAGTTATCTTTTTATTTTAGTGTTAACCGTATGTAAGTGCCTGTCAAATCTTTGATCTTATTCACAGCCTCGTTCCCAGGCGCTTTAAATAGAATTAATATAGGAACACTACAGGCTTTTACATAGATCAGTGGCAAAGCTGAGCGAACGCGCAAGGAGTTTTAGGGAGGACGCGGAAAAGGAAGCATTTCTCCGTCGAGTCCTCCCCAAAATTCCTTGCGTGCTTGCTCTGCTTAGCTACTGATCTATGTAAAAGCCTGTAGTGTTCCTATATTTATTTTATTCAAAGCGCCTGGGAACGAGGCTGTCTTATCCGTGTAAAACATTGCCCGCGCGGATTTGGATTTTAATAGGGAGCATGAGCTCCCAACGACCTTGATGAATGTTCTGTCAAAAGTTACTGTCGGCAACAGAAATTCAATTATAACTTTTAGAGCGCACCACAACGTTGTGCTATTGGACATTTAGTGGCTTTAATTTAGCGCCATTATACTAAGTTCGGTATCCTCTTTCTATGCTCGGTATGATTTATTTCCTTCTTCTTACCTAAATCATAAGTTGGTCGATTCTGCAAAAGGTCAATTATCAATGCTACGCTACTGTTTAGAAGAAGACTTGTTTTACGTATTTTCAATTCCCACTGAGCAGAACATCTGGACTGAGTTTCGCATAATCTATAGACTAGACGTCAATTGGTTTTGTTGGGAAGACGTTTTATTTCAAATATTAAATATTTATTTCGTTTGACGTTTTTGTCCCCATGCATCAAGGCGTCAGCAGCTGTTAATGGACCTTTGGAAAATGTTTATTGTTCAAGTAATCAGGGGCCGGTTGTGTGAAGGCTGGATAGCGCTATCCACTGCATGGATAGAGATTTTTTCAACCGTTATAAAAATGCTTGAAAGGATTGCTTTAAAATTTCAGCTTTGGAACCAACAAATATTAATGAAGTCCTCGATTTAGGAATACTAAGATTTAATCAAAGTTACAGCAAACAACGGGCGATTTTAAACCACTATCCGGTGGATAGCGCTATCCGGCTTTCATACAACCAGTCCCAAGTATATAAGTTTGACTTACTAAAATGTTTTGACTGTACGTGATCTAAGCATCTACCACTGAGATCTTCATAAAGCGTCATAGCGAGTGGTAGTTGAATTATTGCCACAAAGAAAAAGATGTGACCTAAGAAAATTAGAAATTAATATATTTTTAGTCGAAGAGTCTTCAAAACGTGTTTGAAAGACAGATTTTTTTCTGTAAAACCACGGTTGATTTTTGCGATTGCTTTCCCTGATAATATGCATCGTCAAAAAAACTAATTTCTAGTAATAGGGAGTTATTATGCAGTCGTCATTGTAATTTTCGCAGTATTCTCTGCTAAATGAAGATCCGTCTTCAGTGAAATCATTTTGTGATAAAACCGCATGCATATAAATATGTGTGTTACTGCTCAAGTTAATATCTTGGTCATCTCACGATTTATTACGATATAACAATAGAGTTGATGCATGTTCGCGGGCATAAATGTGTTTTTGGCCAGACTCTGAACTCATTACTATTATTATTATATTAACTTTAAAAGGCAATTTTTGAATAAAAATTATGCAATGGGTAAAAACATTAGTCATTCTTCTGATTGGCTTAGATCAGCGAGCTAAAATATATTTCAGCCCGGCAAATCTATCGTTTTAGCCTGAAAAATATACGGCAATGTCCGCCAAAGTTAATATAATCTACAACACTTTTTCATTCTTTCTCAGTTAATGAACACCAAGGATTAGGCTGGTTACACCGGCTATTTCGACACAAATTATGCCGTAAATATATTCGCTGCATGCATGCGTTCATTTGTAAAATAGTATTGAAATATTTTACGATAGATCATGATTATGTGTGAAATACTGTTGTTTAAATAAAAGACATTCTATAATTGACTGTCCCATGCTATCGCAAAAATAATATATAATATTTCACAGAAGTATGCTCAAAAAGATGAAATTGAAGATAATTACGATTTGGATCGTAGGGATCAACACACTTACGCAAGTTCCAAATATAGTTTTCCATTAAATATCCGATAAGTTCAACGATTAGGTTTAGTTTGTGCCGTACTTGTTTTGTTGTGTGCGTCACAATAATATATCAACATCCGTTTTCATTGTTTCAGGATATCAGAATATTACCAGAATATCATTAAATTCTTTGACGTGCTTAATCCTAAAAAAAGTTCAAAAAATAATTAAATGACACAGGAGTGTGTTATGGACACCCGTCTTATCCGTCTCTGATACAGGTGATTAAGAAAAAACAAGCACATTTACGTATTATAAAAACGCTGTGGGATAAAAGGTCATCCATCTCTCAGAATTGTTACAATACTTCCGCAAGAGAATGACACCTCAATTTGAAAACAGCAACAACGGATCTCCAATAACGACAATGCAATTCTGGTACAACGATTCAAAGTTTCCTTTCAATGGGTTACAAAGACCTTACCACTGACGTCGTATTATTTGAGTCTATATCGGCGTGACAAAGAGAGTTAAACGTTTAACAATACGAACTATCAAATTAAGTAAAATTTGTTTGCGATAACTGATTGACGTTATTGTATATCACAGGCACCAAATAAATAAACTTAAAAAGAAAATAACAAAACTCTGACATGAAGTACTGCGCTCTCTAGTCTAATATTTCAACTTCCGTTTTTTCAATGCTAAATTAACATAAATAAACTCTCTTTGTATTATCTCTTTTGTACGTGCGGAAGTGGTCATGCAAGGCCCACATTCCACATTGGCGACAATCATATATTACAATTATTCAGAGCCTAGCTCGATACATAGCTAGCGAAAAAATATTTTTTTAACCCATATTTCCCCAGCTTGTATGGAAACTGTACCAATCCAAATCGTATCAAAGGTTTGTGATACTAAAATTTGAACTTGGTTGATTTACATTCCAGTTTGAGAAATCTAATCAAGTTGAAAACACGTTAATCATAATTCGTGTTTGATGGAATGAAAATCAAAATTGAGCAGAACTACAATCATGCTGAACTAACGACTGATCGAATCATATAATCGTGTGAATATTTTTCGTTTTGGGCCCGCTAAAATATCGAGTCAACGATAGTAATATAACCTCGCAAATTCCGGTTTCTATTCCTACGCCTAGCTGCCACATCCCCTTAAACCTCTTTAATCCAACCGAAAATCCACTTTCACTTTCAGCTGGATTTCCACTTACAGAGATATAGTTAACTTGCTAGCGAAATATTTGCGTATTTTCTTTAGAATTGGAACAGAGTGAATAAATTAGTTCAATATGACTGTTCTGTTCTGTAAAAGAAAATGTACATATATTTCACCAGCGAAATATTTTTCAGTACGTGAAAATCCACCCTTACCAGAACTTTTTTCGTCTGAGCTAATTCAGGTAAAGAAAGAAAACCTATTAAATAATCCATCAGTTACTTCGGCATCTCTCAGAAGAAACTGCGAATGTCCGCGATGTTATATAGTGCACAGTCTGTAATGCATAAAAGCAATGCTTTGTTTTAACCTCCTATATTTATGTTTGCGTGCAAAAATTCGGAAAATGTATAATATCAGGTAATTCGCTAATCGAATTGTATCAACGAACAGATGCGGAAAAGCCGCCTATCTATAGCATAGATTTACTCATTTACACTGTAAATCATTCTGAACTTCAACAAACAACTTACACGGGTATTGTCAGACCATCGTCTCCGCCGGCGTCTGGCACGAGCTTCAATTGCATATATATAATTACAGGATAAATCCTTCTTAAAAGGCCCCTTTTGACTTAAAGATATCTCTCTGTTTAGAACCATGCATTTGTGTTTGTGAAGTGCAAATAGTTAAGGCGAATTAATAATATTTACAAAATATTACAATTTTACCAAAATCTCAGTTTTATTTGCCCTCCTTTTCAACACATGCATAAATTTGGTGAAAATTTTACTTTCAAAATTTTGAAAATAGAAATGTGTTAAGAAGTGTCCACGCCATTCGAATAGACACGAAAATTGTGGGCTTAGTAGCATCGTCTCTATATTAATAATTATGAAATCGACAGAAAGAGCGTTGCCAAAATTTCTGAACTAAGAGGGACTCTTTAAATATAGCACCCACATGCAGGCCAAAATATTTTAGAACGGAGAATAGTTGAACTTTGTTTTCCGCTTTGCTTTTCCAAGAACATACTGTTTTTATGACGAGTACGTGAAGGAATGTTATATAAATCATAAAAGCTCGCTTGAAGGTTAAAGCCGGTTTTCCACTAGCGATATTTTTCGCGCGAAGCAACTTTACTCCTTTGTATTTGAGCATACTTTACTCCTTTGCAATTGAGAGCTCTGAAACAAAAGTAAAATGTCGCTGCGCGCGAAAACTATCGCTAGTAGAAAACCGGCTTAAGACGCCAACGATGAAGAGTTTTGACCCTAGCATCCGCCCTCTCAACTTGATCCAGCCCAGCAACCCTGTATTCAAATAATATATTGGCTCTTGTCCATAGGAAATGTTTGGCAAAAATTAAACATCGCCACATAATCGGTTTATATTTGTTGCAATAGCTGCATGTCATTCCGCGCGGTTCTAATATAAGCATGTAGGACGGGAACACGACGACGGCAGTTATCAATACAATGCTTCATTGAAAAGAAATGAATTTTTAAATACCTATATGGGAGTCTTAGACGTGATCTACGTTCTATATTTACAACGGCAAAACGTCGTTTATTACGTCCTATGTAAAACGTCAGCATTTCGGGACCCAGTGAGCGCTAGCTCGAATTAGGCTCTATAGAATTGTCCCTAAACGTAGAAACAATATTTTCATCGTCTTATATCTCAGTAAATTGGCACAGTTGACAATATAGAACAACGCTTTACCATAACATTAATCTAGAGGAGTATTCCAACCACGTCGTACATGTTGTCAACAACTAGTCCAAAAGTTACATGTACACTAACTATATGAATATAGTGCCGAAAAAAATCAAATATTTATGATTAGTATATTTGAGATTACAAGAAATTAAAATTAAGCCACATATCGAATAACATAATTGCCTAAACGCCTTTCGAACAACCGGCCCCATACAGGGTTCATGGATTGCGTGCATCAAGTTGACTCATTCAAGAGAGATGTAAGAGTGCTGTTTCATTTTGACTTATCCACCGTTTAAGCTAAACGGGGTTCATACAACCGGCCATACATAATTAAAACCATGAAATATCATTGAAAATATCTTCCCTACCTTCAGAGATACACAAGTTTGTTTTGAGATCCACTTAATTGTCATCGAGCCTTCAAATAAGAGCTTAGATGGCTAGATTGGTAACGAAGGCTAGCTAATGTTAGACGTCAGCCCGTGATATGTGAATGGTGATGTAAAACTGATTACAATCTGAACAAAGGATGCCTCCTCTTCTTCTATAACAATCAATCCGACGTACTGATTTCGTTTGCTCCTAACTCTCAATTGATTTAAGAACGCAAACTATAATCTATATATTGCAGCTTGTTTCCGCCTAGTAATGCTTGACCAGCTACACAGTTGCAATTTGTACAAACAGAAATTTGAAAATTCTGCACATGCTGGTATATTCAAATGGCAGTTTCGCAGTTCCCCTTTCTATTATCGCAATTGATCAGCCACATGCCAACTACGAGGTTTTAGCCAGACACGCCGGAATATAAACAAATATAATTTAATGACGATTACAAACTCTCTGAGTAACTTTCAGAGTAATTCCTTGTTTGCATCATTAAGTTATATCAATTGTTTAGAAATGTCGCAAGGATGCTCTATAACATGCTTGCAGTGTAATGAATGGTAGAGTAAACGCGATACAAGTTTATAGCTATTAAATATCGCCCTATTGCAGAAAGTGTCACAGTAAACAATCTCGTTAGTGAAGTCGCTATAAAACGAGTCATATATTCATACCTTTTTCGAATTTGGATAAATACTCCGCTGTTAATACGACAAAGCTTCTTGTTATTTAGGGCTACTAAGAGCGATTAGATATATCTGTCTTCCGTTTCAATTAATTTGCATGCGAAGTATGCAAAGTCTTCTCATAACAAGCACCCACGCGGCCAGGAAGTTTATAGTATACTCGGCCACCAGATCACATTACTTGCATAGCTATGTGTGTTGTGTTCAAGTGAAAAAACTTCCTCAAAGTAGCTAGAATCTTGTAACGTCTTCAAACTTTACTAAAACACGAAGTACTAAATCAGGGACATACGAGAATTGTGACTCAATTGTAGCCTATAACAAGACGTCTGTTCTGGCGTTAACTCCGGCGTGCCTATCACGCGAGTCTTTAATACAAAGCTATGGAACATAAACAATACAGTTCATACTCATTTATATGCCTTGCGAATTAACCTAAATGTTGTTCGATCTCGAAATTCAGAAGCACATCGTACTTTAAATATATATATGCTATATTATAATCTTAACATTGAACTTAACAAACAGCATCAAAAGAACGGTTTATTTCTTCCTAGTCTTGGAGGAATTGAACTCGCGCATCGGAAAATTAGCCAAAGCTATTCACCATAACTCTGGTAGGTGTGTTTATATCACTATGCAAACGTACAAGAATATCGTTATATAAAAATTCATGTTGTATTGTACATATTTTACTATGCCTGCATTTCAGTTTGAAAAACGAGCATCACAAGTCGTAACGCGTAAATAGCAATGCGAAAATAACAAATATACCATATTCTTCCTATGGCTATTTTACTCTTTCCAGTGAATTCAAAACAACATTGTAACATGCGACTGTTTGCAGAACCGGTGAGCTGCCTGCGTTATTCACATGCAAGTGATGCAACTGTCAATTCACTTATAATAGTTTCGGACAATAAGGCGGAAAATATATTACCCTCGACTTCACCCTCGACATTGCCGACTCTCGACCCTCGACTTGCTACCATCGACCCAACCCAAACTCAGTTGTTATCAACATTGAACAATATTGTTGACACTGAATCGGGTGTAACAATATTGTTCAATGTTGATAACAACTCTGAACAATGTGGGCGGCACAACATTGCTCCATCCTGTTTATATCAACTTGCATCAACCTGAGCGTTTTTAGGCGTGTAGACATTAGACAGAACTGTGACGTAGGTAGAAACGGTCACATACACATGTCAAATACTATAGTATACTTCGCGCCTAAACACACTTGCGAAGACGAAAAATAATAAAAAAAAACCTAGGCGCATTTTCAACTTCGTCGCTCACGCCGGAGCAATAAAGTGAATCCGACTAGGTCTCCAAGGTAGTTGATCGGTGTGGAGAACGAAGCGAAAATTTGTTTGCTTATTTTAGAGTGGGAAGCCTGACCGGGTTGCTTACGAGGTTCACCTGGGCCGTAGCTTTAATTCCGGGAGAGGAGTGTATTCATATATTAATGTTTGTCTAATGCATGAACAAGAGCGTACAAAAGATTTCAGGGGTCGGTTGTGCGAAGGCTACCCACCAGATTGTGATCTTTTCAACCGTTTTAAAAATGCTCGAAAAGCGATGAAATTTGATCTTTGGAACCAACAATTGGTAAAGAGGATCTTCGATTTAGAAATACTAAGATTTAATTAAAGTGATAGAAAACAACGGGCGATTTTAAAGTCGTTATGAAAATACACCGCTCAAATAAAGCTTCTAGCTACGGCCCTGTTGCTTAGTACTTGTCTAAATCAATGAGACATAATTCTGTCATAATGAATTAAGCATAAATTAGTGCTTGTAATAACCGAGACTTCATATCGCCTGCGAGTCTTCGATCACCGAAATAAATCGTCACTATTATAATGATAAATATCATGTTACGCATAAAATACCTTTAAAAAATAGGCAAACACGGAACGTCCGCTGGGATCAACTTTCCAAAAACTTGCCTTGACATGCAGCAATACTCAGCAATACGGTTGAGAGCCTTTGAAGTTTAACTGCAAATTAACTTACTTTAAAATTCATGCAGCAAAAAGGATGTCATCTTGGAATTTATGCTTACGTAATATTGAACTTTTTGAAGACCTGTAAGTCGGATATATTTAAGTAAAAACATGTGTTTTTAAAATCCTTTGCGTGATCGGTGAATGTGACGTAAGATGTGTAAGATAAATACCAAAAATTAATTGGCATTAGAGTAAATTGGCATTTCAAGTTCGTAAATATATCATCTGTTATTTCAGAGTTAAACAAAGGTGTATTATTATATTTGCCTACTTTGTGTTGAATACAAAATCAGTGTGGCAATGGTCTAAAACCGAAATACGCGGAATTAGGAGCAAAGTTAAATTATTTTGTCATTTTGTGTTTCCAATATTCGACATTATAGATGCATGCGAAACTGAGAGGGAATATACGAATATTAGGCCAAAATTTTCGTTGAACGTTTCAATGTTGTAAATATGTTTTGCCAGAAATACAAGCATCTGTAACACTATCAATGAAATTAAAACTCTAGTTTTCCTAACGTTCGATCAACACATTTTTGGACGCCAGCAGAACAATTGTGTTTGCGAAACAGGTAAATAATCTCTTGCAGAAGCAAGCTGTGATATTTGTAGCATAATATATCATTATGCGCATGTTCAGTATTATGAAGTCTCGGAAAGATATTCTTCATACAGACCTCGGAAAGATTTTCTTATATAGACTGTTGATTTGCAACAAAATTACAATAATTACAAAAATCGCAGGTATAATGAGATTATAAGAAAATTATGAATTGACCGGTGGTTGTCCTTTTAAACGGTTGTATAAACTACCATGCAAAAGTTAACCTAAAATTAAACCACCTTGTGTATGTAAACTGTTTGTCTCTTAATGTATGTTATTAGCTGGATTGACGGCAAATTTCACTGCTTTGTCGTTCTGCGAAAATTTCACTGCTGTGATATTCTGTGATTTTGCCACTCTTCGTTCGTGTCTTGTCAAGAGATAAACGGCAATGAGAACAAATATCGCACCGGCTATTATTCCAACGATCAAAACAACGACTATTGTCAAAGTAAAGTTTCTCGCATCTTTGCTTTTTGCTCCTGTATTGTCATCTTCAGATTTCTCATCACGATCTAATAAGAAAATTCGGCATGTATTTAATATAATAACACGCTAATTTGCAAAAACAGCCTGTAGTTCTGCAGTTCTATAGCCTGAGCTTTTTTAGTCTCGTAGTGGTTGTAAAATTTTAAATTCGCCGATTTTTGCTTTTTAAGCCCACACGCATGAATGGAATGATCAGACTGAAAGTACAGCTACGCTTTTCGAAGAAAGTTATTTCTGGTCACTAGAACCACGGGAGAAAAGCATAACCTTAAACAACGTGCATGCGAAATATAATTGTCATAATTATCTCGGGAAACATTCAGACTCTTGGGAAAAAAAACTCACTATTTCCCTCGGGAGCATACATTAAATGTATCATTATGTAACAATAGGTTAATTATAAAGGTCGTATTTAATTTTCATTTATCCACCGTTTAAGCTGGGCTTAAACGGCCTGATATACAACCGTCCCCAGTGATGCATGCCTTTAAAGACCAAATACGAAAAATAAGTTTAATTTGTGGACTGCTAGGCATTCCATTTCTTCATTTCATCATTCACATATAGCCTACGTCATAGATCCGCCATAGCTATACTTCTCCTATTCATGCACGGCTGTCGGCGGTACCATGACAATCACATTATGATCACAACTCACCATTTATTTTAAAATGTATCCATTTACTTGAAATTCCTTTTGTTCCATTACCAAAGCCGAAAACTGATACACTATAATTTGCATCTGGTGAAAGATGCCTCAGAACCACAGAATAGGTTACACTTAAAGTGTCGATTTGGAAAGAATGTGTTGCGTTTCTCACATTTACTCTGTAACCAAAGATTTTATCGTATTTTTCCTCACGTTGTTGCACGAGAAACCACTGGATGCCAACTGAAGTTTTGGACAAGATAACAACCTGAATATTTTTTGGCGCAGGAATCAAATCTAAAAGCAGTTCAAATATAAAATATAAAAGTTTGCACATATATTGTTCTACCATACAATTTTACCGAATTGTGTCTTGAGACACATTGCACATGCGCCCTGAATCTTCCAGTCGAGTGTCGTAATAAAATCCACACTTTCACCTCATTCATAATTATCTGTATGCCGTAGGAATCATATTTGCTTTATTTTTGAATGACTTGTACAATAATTTTTTTATGTTTGGTCATATTTACCAAATAGTTACAAACTTGAAAATAATCGGTAAGAAAAAATGGCAATGGAGTTGCACAAGTGTTGAATATAAAAATTTTGGTTCTGGTATGTAAACTGATTATCATACCGACCGTCAAAAATGCCACCGGCCATCTATAGTTTGCAAATGCGATGATGAAAATGTAACGTAATCATACTAACGGCGATTCAACGAAAAATGCCATAAAGAAAAAGCCTAAAAAACTAAAGGTCCCAGGTGCAATCTTGTAAATAAATTACTCATGTCGGAAATTAATATTCTAAAATTATTGATTTTTTTTATATTCATGTTAGGTTTGGCATTTAAATCCAGCGGAATCTAGTTGGTCTTCTTCAGTTAGCGAATGGATTAATTTCACCATAAAAGCAATACGCAACATACCTAATGATGAAAAGTTGTACAATACAGCATAACCATCACTATACTGTGTGAACCCACGTATTGAAAGGATATAATTTGATTTTGGAGCTAAGTCAGGAAACACGACGTGGTTGGTATCATTTGCTGATATGAAACTTAATTTTCTTTTTCGGCTGGTTAGAATCAGCTTGTATCCCAGTAAAACGCCGTTTATTTTTGGTTTTGAAGAAATCTTTTCCCATCTAATCACTGCTTCTTTGGAGGTGATCTTTGCAAGGTGAATATTATTTGGCCTTGGAAGTCGATCTAAAATAAAAAATTCTAATCGTTTAGTAGGTCTAAAAAAGTAGGGAATTGACAAAAAAGAGCAGTTTTCAGTGGGTGGATGATATAAATCACGGATACAGGAAGCGAACCAAATGCCTGTCGCGGCGTGAAAATACTAGCTAACTAATCATTATCAGTCTAGAATTTGCAAACCCGGGCAAATCTTCATTTGCTGACCTCTAGCAAGGAGACAAATAGTTTGGGTGGAAATAAACTCCCCGAAAGCCAAATTATCATAAATATTAAGTAAAGGCCTATTCAAAGGTAAATATGTGATTGAACTTGAATAATTTTACTACATTTATACTATATTTTTAGCATTCAAATGTATTCCTATGCATGTATATAACGTGAATGTTTTTTGGGTTTCTGGCAAATATATTTCAAAACCTATGCTGGGGACACCTTGCCTATACCTTCGTCATATCTTTAAATTGAAAATAGAAAGCTGATTGGCTGTCGTTTAAAAAGAGCCAATCAGCTTTCTATTTTGAATTGAAAACTATGACGAAGGTATAGGCAAGGTGTCCCCAGCATAGGTTTTGAAATATATTTGCCAGAAACCATAAAAACATTCACGTTTTATACATGCATATAGGAATACATTTGAATGCTAAAAATATAGCATAAATGTAGTAAAATTATTCAAGTTCAATGTGTTGTACTTTTTTTTTCTTATTCGCCATATTTTTACGAAATATTTGCGGTTTTGTGAAGGTGTTTGAGTCAACCGTCGTGCGTTTTTAGCTTATTTGGCGTGAGAGTTGCCAACCTTGTCATAATATAAGACTGTTCAGACAACATGAGCGTAGCGCGAGGTCAGTAAGATCAGTTCTCGGCCGCCTATGGTTTCACTAAAGAAAAGAAGCGTAGCGGAAACTACTGTGGTTCAAGTTGCTTAACGGGACGGACTAATTTGAACTGATTTGGAAGTTACGCTTTCTTACACAAGGCCGTGTATACTTGTAGTATAACCATATACAATTTTCATAGTATACCGTATAACAATATGAGGGTCAGTCGATTATGATTTTTGGCACTTCGCTCTCGATGCGGGTAAGTTCTAGAGGTTTTAAAGGGTCTTAATTTCGAGTGGAATAATACACACTTCAAATTCAAGCCAGGAACAGTTGAAGTAAAAATGAGTCAATTATCGGTCCTCCGGCAGGATGGACTATTCGCAGAAATCCAACAACTATACAACTATATGAGAACCTATATACAGGATGTATAACCGCAAAAATTTCAATCCAGATTTAATCCGCAAATTAATATTTTTTGTGGTTTGATACGATTTTTGTGGTTTGACACAAAGTAAATTTAGTTCTTTATGAACGAATCTTCCAGTTTTATGACCTAAATGTCCATTACTTCGAAAATCACACAAACTGCTATTTACATGTGACTGAACAAAATTAACAAGTAAGCTAGACTAATGAAACTTACTTTCAACGCGAAAGCTCAATCGAGCGGCGTTACATGGCGCTTTACTTGCAGTAAGAACACACATGAATTTATCGTCTTTGGTAACCCCAGTGACTGTAACACTGCAGGAGAGAATTTTATAACGAAGTACTTTTTCAACTTCACATTTGTGTAGGTAATTATTGTTCTTAAGAAATTCCACCCTTGTCATATATCCTTGGTTTAGGGGGTTAATCTTGACCGAGCCGGTACATTCCAATGTTATAATGGTGTTTTTTGTCACATATGGGTAAGGTGTCGCTCTGTAAGATATGTTTGGTATCAGAGTTTCTTTAAAAGAGAAAAGAATAACCAATAATAACCAATGGCGTTGTTATTAAGGTAATACCGTATATTTAGTCTGTCAGCGTTCTTTTGATTGTGTAATTTTAACTGTTGGCCTTCATGGCGGCCTAATTTTTTTCTTCAAATATGGCGCCTAAGTTATCTTTTTATTTTAGTGTTAACCGTATGTAAGTGCCTGTCAAATCTTTGATCTTATTCACAGCCTCGTTCCCAGGCGCTTTAAATAGAATTAATATAGGAACACTACAGGCTTTTACATAGATCAGTGGCAAAGCTGAGCGAACGCGCAAGGAGTTTTAGGGAGGACGCGGAAAAGGAAGCATTTCTCCGTCGAGTCCTCCCCAAAATTCCTTGCGTGCTTGCTCTGCTTAGCTACTGATCTATGTAAAAGCCTGTAGTGTTCCTATATTTATTTTATTCAAAGCGCCTGGGAACGAGGCTGTCTTATCCGTGTAAAACATTGCCCGCGCGGATTTGGATTTTAATAGGGAGCATGAGCTCCCAACGACCTTGATGAATGTTCTGTCAAAAGTTACTGTCGGCAACAGAAATCAATTATAACTTTTAGAGCGCACCACAACGTTGTGCTATTGGACATTTAGTGGCTTTAATTTAGCGCCATTATACTAAGTTCGGTATCCTCTTTCTATGCTCGGTATGATTTATTTCCTTCTTCTTACCTAAATCATAAGTTGGTCGATTCTGCAAAAGGTCAATTATCAATGCTACGCTACTGTTTAGAAGAAGACTTGTTTTACGTATTTTCAATTCCCACTGAGCAGAACATCTGGACTGAGTTTCGCATAATCTATAGACTAGACGTCAATTGGTTTTGTTGGGAAGACGTTTTATTTCAAATATTAAATATTTATTTCGTTTGACGTTTTTGTCCCCATGCATCAAGGCGTCAGCAGCTGTTAATGGACCTTTGGAAAATGTTTATTGTTCAAGTAATCAGGGGCCGGTTGTGTGAAGGCTGGATAGCGCTATCCACTGCATGGATAGAGATTTTTTCAACCGTTATAAAAATGCTTGAAAGGATTGCTTTAAAATTTCAGCTTTGGAACCAACAAATATTAATGAAGTCCTCGATTTAGGAATACTAAGATTTAATCAAAGTTACAGCAAACAACGGGCGATTTTAAACCACTATCCGGTGGATAGCGCTATCCGGCTTTCATACAACCGGTCCCAAGTATATAAGTTTGACTTACTAAAATGTTTTGACTTTATGGTAGCTAAGCATCTACCACTGAGATCTTTATAAAGCGTCCTAGCGAGCGGTAGTTGAATTGTTGCCACAAGGAAAAAGATGTGACCTAAGAAAATTAGAAATTAATATATTTTTAGTCGAAGAGTCTTCAAAACGTGTTTGAAAGACAGATTTTCATTTTCTGTAAAACCACGGTTGATTTTTGCAATTGCTTTCTCTGACAATATGCATCGTCAAAAAAATTAATTTCTAATAATAGGGAGTTATCATGCAGTCGTCATTGTAGTTTTCGCAGTATTTTCTGCTAAACGAAGATCCGTCTTTAGTGCAATCATTTTCTGTTAAAACTGCATGCATATAAATATGTGCGTTACTGCTCAAGTCAATACCTTGGTCAGTTGACGATTTATCATGATATAACAACAGAGTTGATGTTCGCGGGCATAAATGTGTTTTTGGCCCGACTCTAAACTCATTACTATTATTATTATATTAACTTTAAAGGGCAATTTTTGTATAAAAATTATGCAATGGGTAAAAACTTTAATCATTCTTCTGCTGATTGGCTTGGATCAGCGAGCTAAAATATTTTTCAGCCTGGCAAATTTATCATTTTAGCCCGCAAAAAACACCGCAATGCCTGTCAAAGTTAATATAGTCTACAACACTTTTGCATTCTTTCTCAGTTAATGCATGAACACCAAAGATTAGGCTGGCTACATTATTTCGACCCAGATTATGCGGTAAATATTCGCTGCATGCATGCGTTCATTTGTAAAATAGTATATTGAAATATTCTTACGATATATCATGATTATGTGTGAAATACCGTTGTTTAAATAAAAGCCATCCTACCATTGACTGCCCCATGCCATCGCAAAAATAATATATAATATTTCACAGAAGTATGCTCAAAAAGATGAAATTGAAGATAATTACGATTTGGATCGTAGGAATCAACACACTTACGCAAGTTCCAAATATAGTTTTCCATTAAAAATCCGATAAGTTCAACGATTAGGTTTAGTTTGTGTCGTACTTGTTTTGTTGTGTGCGTCACAATAATATATCAACATCCGTTTTCATTCAGGTGACCAGATTATCATTAAATTCTTTGACGTGCTTAATCCTAAAAATGAAGTTCAAAAAATAATTAAATGACACAGGAGTGTGTTATGGACACCCGTCTTATCCGTCTCTGATACAGGTGATTAAGAAAAAACAAGCACATTTACGTATTATAGAAACGCTATGGGATAAAAGGTCATCCATCTCTCAGAATTGTTACAATACTTCCGCAAGAGAATGACACCTCAATTTGAAAACAGCAACAACGGATCTCCAATAACGACAATGCAATTCTGGTACAACGATTCAAAGTTTCCATTCAATGGGTTACAAAGACATTACCACTGACGTCGTATTATTTGAGTCTATATCGGCGTGACTAAGAGAGTTAGACGTTTAACAATACGAAATATCAAATTAAGTAAAATTTGTTTGCGATAACTGATTGACGTTATTGTATATCACAGGCACCAAATAAATAAACTTAAAAAGAAAACAACAAAACTCTTACATGAAGTACTGCGCTCTCTGGGCTAATATTTCAACTTCCGTTTTTTCAATGCTAAATTAACATAAATAAACTCTCTTTGTATTATCTGTTTTGTACGTGCGGAAGTGGTCATGCAAGGCCCACATTCCATATTGGCGACAATCATATATTACAATTATTCAGAGCCTAGCTCGATACATAGCTAGCGAAAAAATAATTTTTTAACCCATATTTCTCCAGCTTGTATGGAAACTGTACCAATCCAAATCGTATCAAAGGTTTGTGATAATAAAATTTGAATTTGGTTGATTTACATTCCAGTTTGAGAAATCTAATCAAGTTGAAAACACGTTAATCATAATTCGTGTTTGATGGAATGAAAGTCAAAATTGAGCAGAACTGCAATCATGCTGAACTAAAGACTGAATCATATAATCGTGTGAATATTTTTCGTTTTTGGGCCCGCTAAAATATCGAGTCAACAATAGTAATATAACCTCGCAAATTCCGGTTTCTATTCCTACGCCTAGCTGCCACATCCCCTTAAACCACTTTAATCCAACGGAAAATCCACTTTCACTTTCAGCTGGATTTCCACTTACAGAGATATAGTTAACTTGCTAGCGAAATATTTGCGTATTTTCTTTAGAATTTGAACAGAGTGAATAAATTAGTTCAATATGATTGTTCTCTTCTGTAAAAGAAAATGTACAAATATTTCACCAGCGAAATATTTTTCTGTACGTGAAAATCCACCCTTACCAGAACTTTTTTCGTCTGAGCTAATTCAGGTAAAAAAAGAAAACCTATTAAATAATCCATCAGTTACTTCGGCATCTCTCAGAAGAAACTGCGAATGTGCGCGATGTTATATAGTGCACAGTCCGTAATGCATAAAGCAATGCTTTGTTTTAACCTCCTATATTTATGTTTGCGTGCAAAAATTCGGAAAATGTGTAATATCAGGTAATTCGCTAATCGAATTGTATCAACGAACAGATGCGGAAAAGCCGCCTATCTAGCATAGATTTACTCATTTACACTGTAAATCATTCTGAACTTCAACAAACAACTTAGTCTCATTTGACAGCACGGGTATTGTCAGACCATCGTCTCCGCCGGCGTCTGGCACGAGCTTCAATTGCATATAATTACAGGATAAATCCTTCTTAAAAGGCCCCTTTTGACTTAAAGATATCTCTCTGTTTAGAACCATGCATTTGTGTTTGTGAAGTGCAATAGTTAAGGCGAATTAATAATATTTACAAAATATTACAATTTTACCAAAATCTCAGTTTTATTTGCCCTCCTTTTCAACACATGCATAAATTTGGTGAAAATTTTACTTTCAAAATTTTGAAAATAGAAATGTGTTAAGAAGTGGCCACGCCATTCGAATAGACACGAAAATTGTGGGCTTAGTAGCATCGTCTCTATATTAATAATTATGAAATCGACAGAAAGAGCGTTGCCAAAATTTCTGAACTAAGAGGGACTCTTTAAATATGATACCCACATGCAGGCCAAATTGTTTTAGAAGAATGGAGAATAGTTGAACTTTGTTTTCCGCTGTGCTTTTTTTATGCTGTTTTTATGACGAGTACGTGAACATGCTGTTTTTATGACGATTACGTGAAGGAATGTTATATAAATCATAAAAGCTCGCTTGAAGGTTAAAGCCGGTTTTCCACTAGCGATATTTTTCTGGCGAAGCAACTTTACTCCTTTGTATTTGAGCATACTTTACTCCTTTGCAATTGAGAGCTCTGAAACAAAAGTAAAATGTCGCTGCGCGCGAAAAATATTGCTAGTAGAAAACCGGCTTAAGACGCCAACGATGAAGAGTTTTGACCCTAGCATCCGCCCTCTCAACTTGATCCAGCCCAGCAACCCTGTATTCAAATAATATATTGGCTCTTGTCCATAGGAAATGTTTGGCGAAAATTAAACATGCATATCAGCAGAAAGTGTCACAGTAAACAATCTCGTTAGTGAAGTCGCTATAAAACGAGTCATATATTCATACCTTTTTCGAATTTTGATAAATACTCCGCTGTTAATACGACAAAGCTTCTTGTTATTTAGGGCTACTAACCAGGAAGTTTATAGTATATATACTTGGCCACCGGATCACATTACTTGCAAAGTTATGTGTGTTGTGTTAAAGTGAAAAAACTTCCCCAAAGTACAATCTTTTAACGTCTTCTAACTTAGGAACACAAAGTACTAAATTAGGGACATACGAGAATTGTGACTCAATTGTAGCCTATAACAAGACATCTGTTCTGGCGTTAACTCCGGCGTGCCTATATCACGTGAGCCTTTAATACAAAGCTTTGGAACATAAACAATACAGTTCATACTCATTTATATGCCTTGCGAACCTAAATGTTGTTCGATCTCGAAATTCAGAAGCACATCGTACTTTAAATATATATATGCTATATTATAACCTTAAAATTGAACTTAATCAAACAGCATCAAAAGAACGGTTTATTTCTTCCTCTTGGAGGAATTGCCGTATCATGCGAGCGAAATCAACTCGCGCATCGGAAAATTAGCCAAAGCTATTCAACACAACTCTGGTAGGTGTGTTTATATCACTATGCAAACGTACAAGAATATTGTTACGTAAAAATTTATGTTGTATTGTACATATTACACTATGCATGCGTTTCAGTTTGAAAAACAAGCATCACAAGTCGTAACGCGTAAATAGCAATGCGAAAATAACAAATATACCATATTCTTCCTATGGCTATTTTACTCTTTCTAGTGAATTCAAAACAACATTGTAACATGCAACTGTTTGCAGAACCGGTGAGCTGCCTGCGTTATTCACATGCAACTGTCAATTCACTTATGATAGTTTCGAACAATAAGGCATAAAATATATTACCCTCGACTTCACCCTCGACATTGCCGATTGTATAATTCGATAAAAATCGACCCTCGACTTTACCCTCGACTTTACCCTCGACCTCACTCTCGACCCTCGACTTGCTACCCTCGACCCTCGACCCTTGACCAAAACCCAAACTCAGGCCCCCTTTACACGAGCCCGGGCTGGCTGCCAACCCGGGTTGGTGAGCCAACCCGTCAACCCGTCTGCGAATAAATTACTAGTTGCGTTTACACGATAGCCGGGTTGCGGCTTCACACTTCGCCAACCCGGGTAACCCTTCTCGAGACCCGGGTTGACCCGGGTTGGCTTGGTGTAAAGGTGTGAAAATTGTGCTAAATTCCTCATGTAAACACGGGTTGGCTTGAGCCGGGTTCGTATAAACTGCGGCATATGGACTTTGGAAGCAAATATTCTGTCACACACGCATATCATATTGCATTGAGCGCGCGTAACTTCTCTCCGCTATAGTATGGCAAGCAAAAGTAAAACCGCTCGAACGGACAAAAATGTCTCAAAAAAGCGCAACAGTTTCAGTGGTCGCCCAAATAGTCGAACATTTGATATTGTGTTTAAAACAGTCGACTTAAACTCGGATGTTGTTGTAGATAATATACAACAGCATCACACCGTGCATTTGAATAGCTGCTAAAAACAAAAGCAAAACTGCAGAGTTAGAAACAATAACTTTCCTTCGTTTATCGCCAGTGTTGTTGCCATTTGTTGTCCGCCAATTTACACTCTGCTTCAGGCTATCACTCGGAAATATTCCCTAGCCAGCCCGGGTTGGGAATTGCTGACCCGGGTTGGCGAGAATGGTCTTCAACCCGGGTCCGTGTAAACACGATAAAAATATAATCACCTGTGGCGCACCAACCCGGGTTGAAAATCAGCCTGGGCTCGTGTAAATGGGGCCTCAGTTGTTATCAACACTGAACAATATTGTTGACACTGAATCGGGTGTAACAATATTGTTCAATGTTGATAACAACTCTGAACAATGTGGGCAGCACAACATTGCTCCATCCTGTTTATATCAACTTGCATCAACCTGAGCGTTTTTAGGCGTGTAGACATTAGACAAAACTGTGACGTAGGTAAAAACGGTCACATACACATGTCAAATACTATAGTATATTTCGCGCCTAAACACACTTGCGACCACGAAAAATAATAAAAAAACCTAGGCAAATTTTCAACTCCGTCGCTCACGCCGGAGTAATAAAGTGAATCACTAGGTCTCCTAGGTACTTTATCGGTGTGGAGAACGAAGCGAAAATTTGTTTGCATATTTTAGAGTGGGAAGCCTGACCGGGTTGCTTACGAGGTTCACCTGGGCCGTAGCTAGACCGCTTTAATTCGGGGAGGGGAGTGTATTCATATATTAATGTTTGTCTAACGCATGAACAATAGCGTACAAAATATTTCAGGGGTCGGTTGTGCGAAGGCTGCTGGATATAGCGCTATCCACCGGATTGATCTTTGGAACCAACGATTGTTAAAGAGGATCCTCGATTTAGAAATACTAAGATTTAATTAGAGTTATAGAAAACAACGGCCGATTTTAAAGTCGTTATGAAAATACACCGCCCTAGTAGTTGTCTAAATCAATGAGACATGATTCTGTCATAATGAATTACCGTAATTACTCGAATAAACGCCGCGGCGTTTATTAAATTTTTACCAATTACGATGCGGCGTTTATTCGAGGGCGGCGTTTATTCAAGGGAGGCGTTTATTGCAAACTCGTAACAACTCTGAATTTATTGAGTAATTTAAACGCCAATTTAACCAATACAATCTAGTGGTACCGGCAAGATTCTCGGCTGTTACCACGGAATTACGCATCGCAGAAGTTTTGGAGAGAGAGCTAAGCAGCCAAGCTATGAAGTATAGCCACTTTGAACTGATGAATAACATTCAAATTGAGAAAAATAAATTTCCACGACTGGTTTAGATTCAATGTTGTCTTTTTTTTGTAAGGATAGATACTTGAATTTCTTACTGTGGTTATAAATAAATGCTTCGAATAAACGCCGCAATGACGAAAAGGTTGCGGCGTTTATTTGAGGGCGGCGTTTAATGATATTTTTGCTTGTCCCTGCGGCGTTAATTCGAGGGCGGCGTTTATTCGAGGGAGGCGTTTATTCAAGTAATTACGGTAAGCATAAATTAATGCTTGTCATAACCCAGACTTCTTATTTTTCACATCGCCAGCGAGGCTTCGATCACCGAAATAAATCGTCACTATTATAATGATAAATATCATGTTACGCATAAAATACCTTTAAAAAATAGGCAAAAACGGAACGTCCGCTGGGATCAACTTTCCAAAAACTTTCCTTGACATGCAGCAATACTCAGCAATACGGTTGAGAGCCTTTGAAGTTTAACTGCAAATTAACTTACTTTAAAATTCATGCAGCAAAAAGGATGTCATCTTGGAATTTATGCTTACGTAATATTGAACTAATATTGACCTGTAAGTCAGATATATTTAAGTAAAAACATGTGTTTTTAAAATCCTTTGCGTGATCGGTGAATGTGACGTAAGATGTGTAAGATAAATACTAAACATTAATTGGCATAAGAATAATTGACGATATGTTTCAAGTTCGTAAATATGTCATCTGTTATTTCGGGGTTAAACAAAGGTATATTACTATATTTGCCTACTTTGTATTGAATACAAATGTGGCAATGGTTTAAAAGCGAAATACGCGCAATTAGTGGCAAAGTTAAATTATTTTGTCATTTTGTGTTTCCAATATTCGACATTATAGATGCATACGAAAAGAGGGAATATTAGGCCAATATTTTCGTTTAACGTTTCAATGTTGTAAATATGTTTTGCCAGAAATGCCGCAAGCATCTGTAACACCATCAATCAAATTAAAACTCTAGTTTTCCTAACGTTTGATCAACACATGTTTGGATGACAGCAGAACAATTGTTTGCGAAATAAGTAAATAATCTCTTGCAGAAGCAAGCTGTGATATTTGTAGCATAATATCATTATGCGCGTGTTCAGTATTATGAAGTCTCGGAAAGATATTCTTCATACAGACCTCGGAAAGATTTTCTTATATAGACTGTTGATTTTGCAACAAAATGACAATAATTACAAAAATCGCAGGTATTATGAGATTATAAGAAAATTATGAATCGACCGGTGGTTGTCCTTTTAAAGTTGTATAAACTACCATGCAAAAGTTGACCTGAAATTAAACCACCTTGTGTATGTAAACTTTTTGTCTCTTAATGTATGTTATTAGCTGGATTGACGGCAAATTTCACTGCTTTGTCGTTCTGCGAAAATTTCACTGCTGTGATATTCTGTGATTTTGCCACTCTTCGTTCGTGTCTTGTCAAGAGATAAGCGGCAATGAGAACAAATATCGCACCGGCTATTATTCCAACGATCAAAACAATGACTATTGTCAAAGTAAAGTTTCTCGCATCTTTGCTTTTTGCTCCTGTATTGTCACCTTCAGATTTCTCATCACGATCTAAAAAGAAAATTCGGCATGTATTTAATATAATAACACGCTAATTTGCAAAAACAGCCTGTAGTTCTGCAGTTCTATAGCCTGAGCTTTTTTTTAGTCTCGTAGTGGTTGTAAAATTTTAAATTCGGCGATTTTTGCTTTTTAAGCCCACACGCATGAATGGAATGATCAGACTGAAAGTATAGCTACGCTTTTCGAAGAAAGTTATTTCTAGTCACTAGAACCACGGGAGAAAAGCATAACCTTAAACAACGTGCATGCGAAATATAATTGTCATAATTGTCTCGGGAAACATTCAAACTCTTGGGAAAAAAACTCACTATTTCCCTCGGGAGCATACATTAAATGTATCATTATGTAACAATAGGTTAATTATAAAGGTCGTATTTAATTTTGATTTATCCACCGTTTAAGCTAAATGGGCCTGATATACAACCGTCCCCAGTGATGCATGCCTTTAAAGACCAAATACGAAAAATAAGTTTAGGTTGCGGACTGCTAGGCATTCCATTTCTTCATTTCATCATTCACATATAGCCTACGTCATAGATCCGCCATAGCTATACTTCTCCTATTCATGCACGACTGTCGGCGGTACTATGACAATCACATTATGATCACAACTCACCATTTATTTTAAAATGTATCCATTTACTTGAAATTCCTTTTGTTCCATTACCAAAGCCGAAAACTGATACACTATAATTTGCATCGGGTGAAAGACGCCTGAGAACCACAGAATAGGTTACACTTAAAGTGTCGATTTGGAAAGAATGTGTTGCGTTTCTCACATTTACTCTGTAACCAAAGATTTTATCGTATTTTTCCTCACGTTGTTGCACGAGAAACCACTGGATGCCAACTGAAGTTTTGGACAAGATAAGAACCTGAACATTTTTTGGCGCAGGAATCATATCTAAAAGCAGTTCAAACATAAAATATAAAAGTTTGCACACATATTGTTATACCATACAATTTTACCGAATTGTGTCTTGAGACACATTGCACATGACATGTGCCTTGAATCTTCCAGTCGAGTGTCGTAATAAAATCCACACTTTCACCTTATTCATAATTATCTGTATGCTGTACGAATCATATTTGCTTTATTTTTGAATGACTTGTAAAAGAATTTTTTTTATGTTTGGTCATATTTAGCAAATAGTTACAAACTTGAAAATAATCGGTAAGAAAAAATGGCAATGGAGTTGCATAAGTGTTGAATATAAAAACTTTGGTTCTGGTACTTAAAATGATTATCATACCGACCGTCAAAAATGCCACCGGCCATCTTCAGTTTGAAAATGCGATGATAAAAATGATGACGTAATGATTCTGACGGCAATTCAACGAAAAATGCCATATAGAAAAAGCCTAGAAAACTAAAGGTCCCAGGTGCAATCTTGTAAATAAATTATTCATGTTGGAAATTAATATTCTAGATTTATTGAATTTTTTTAATATTCAGGTTAGGTTTGGCATTTAAATCCAGCGGAATCTAGTTGGTCTTCTTCAGTTAGCAAATGAATTAATTTCCCCATAAAAACAATACGCAACATACCTAATGTTGAAAAGTTGTACAATACAGCATAACCATCACTATACTGTGTGAACCCATGTATTGAAAGGGTATGATTTGATTTTAGAGCTAAGTCAGAAAACACGACGTGATTGGTATCATTTGCTGATATGAAACTTAGTTTTCTTTTTCGGCTGGTTAGAATCAACTTGTATCCCAGTAAAACACCGTTTATTTTTGGTTTTGAAGAAATCTTTTCCCATCTAATTACTGCTTCTTTGGAGGTTATCTTTGCAAGGTGAATATTATTTGGCCTTGGAAGTCGATCTAAAATAAAGAATTCTAATCGTTTAGTAGGTCTAAAAAAGTAGGGAATTGATTAAAAAGAGCAGTTTTCAGTGGGTGGATGATATAAATCACGGATACAGGAAGCGAGCCAAATGCCTGTCGCGCCGTAAAAATACTAGCTAACTAATCATTATCAGTCTAAAATTTGCAAACCCGGGCAAATCTTCAATTGCTGACCTCTAGCCAAGGAGACAAATAGTTTGGGTGGAAATAAACTCCCCGAAAGCAAAATTATCATAAATATTAAGTAAAGGCCTAAGGTAAATATGTGATTTGCATTTGAATCGTCAGTGAAGAATTTACCTCTAGAGTTGGATAATAACTCACTATTTCTATTTCACACTTTCTACCAACCACTTATACGACATACCTAGTGACACAAAGTTGTAGAACAGCGTACATCCATCACCATATTTTGTAAAACCACGTACCGAGAGGGTATAATTTGATTTTGGATTTAAGTCCGTCAACACAACGTAATTAGTATCGTTTGCTAAAGTGATGTTCTCTTCACTTTTCATTCCAAATAGCGTCAATTTGTATCCCAACAAAACACCATAGATTGTTGCGTTCGCAGAAATCTTTTCCCATCTAAGCACTGCTTCTTTCGGAGTGATCTTCTCAAGATAAATGTTCTTTGGCTTGGGAAGTCTATCTAAATGACAAAAATATACACCAATATATATATATTGGTGTATATTTTTGTATCGTATAACAATATAATATAACCGTATAAGAATAATTCAATGGTATAACCGCAAAAATTTCAATCCAGATTTGTTGCGCAAATATAATTTTTTGTGTATAACAAAGTAAATTTAGTTATTAACAAATTTTCCAGTTTTCTGACCTAAATGTCCATTATTTCAAACATGACACAAATTGCTACTTACAAGTGACTGAACAAAATTAACAAACAAGCTAGACTAATGAAACTTACTTTCAATGCGAAAGCTCAATCGAGCTGCGTTACATGGCGCTTTACTTGCAGTAAGAAGACACATGAATTTATCGTCTTTGGTAACCCCAGTGACTGTAACACTGCAGGAGAGTGTTTTAAAACGAAGAACTTCTCCAACTTCACATTTGTGTAGGTCATTATTGTTCTTACGAAATTTCACCCTTGTCATATATCCTTGGTTTGGGGAGTTAATCTTGACCGAGCCGGTACATTCCAATGTTATATTGGTGTCTTTTGTCACATATGGGTAAGGTGTCGCTCTGTATGATATGTTTGGTATCAGAGTTTCTTTAAAAAAGAAAAGAATAACCAATAATATAACCAATAATAAGGTTCGGTTGTAGAGACCATTTAAAAGAAAAAGAGAAGAATATTGCTCTTTATTAATTGGTGTTGTTAGTGGAGATCTTGTTAGTGAGATACGTCTTTCCCATTAGAGGTATTGTTAGCAATGGCTGCAATATTTTTGCGGATTTTTGTTAAATTCTCCTCTTTTTTAACCAAACTGCTTTAAGATTCGATCAATTGAATAACATCACTGGGAGATAAAAAAACGATAAAAGTCAGAACTGGGAGGAAAACTAGGTTGTGTATAGGGTAATAATGCCAAAATAAATAATTCGGTATTTTATGTCATAAAGCTTGTAATTTTGACTACAAATTAAAAATATAATTATATATATATATATATATATATATATATATATATATATATATATTATATATAATATATTATATATGTATATATGTGTGTGTGTGTGTGTGTGTGTACAACACTTTTGTATGCAAATATCTCGTGAAAATATCAAATATATTCACGGGTTACTTTCGAATTTATTACGCTTATATTAACGTAACATTACTAACAGTAATTTTTCATATCCCAGTCAACCTCAATCGATATTAATATAAACGATACTACATTGTGGGTTAACGGACTAAAAGCTTTGCAGTATTAGATACTTACGTGGTGTACCTACAAGCTAAATTACTTATCGACTGTCACCATGCAAACAATTACATACAAGAATTATCGATACTAATATTGTTCACAGTTCAAGTAACCTGCTGCACACTACAAAGCCTTCCAAAATGTAACTTACTAAAATGTTCGGATCCTATTGGTCTCAAACATAGGCTGCTGAGGTCTTCGTGAAGCGTCATAGCGGGTTGTAGCTGAATTGTTACAACCAGGAGGATAATGCGGCCTAAAAGAAAAGAGTTTAAACAAAAATTTTATTTCGCAATCCGCGCGATCGATCTGCGATTGCTTTGCGCGGAAATATCCCGAATTCGGACACAACATGGAATATTTAAAGAAAGCGATGACAATTCACAATAATCATGCAATCGCGCGACATTAGCCTTTACATAAACGGTCTAAATGTAGTTACAAATGTATATTCTTTTTCAATATTGTCATTCATATAATATATGCATATATAATAATTATATGCATAAATTATAATTATTTCTTCAATTATTTTCAATAAGTAAATTAGCTTGTAAGTACACCACGTAAGTATTAAATACTGCGAACTAAAAATACTTTAAAATACTTTAAAACTTTTACACAGCTACAACTTACGTGGTGTGCCTACCAGCTAATTTACTTATTGATGTCACCATGCAAACATACAAGAATATTATTTTTAAAACGGATGATCAGGAATTCTATGCACTGGAATTTAGAGCACTTACACAAGTTCCAAACAATGTTTCCCATTTCGATTTCCGTTTGATTAAGTTTGGATCACGCTAATCAGTTGTGATAAACCTGTTGGATCTACAAAATGCACAATAAAGCGCTTTGGAGGTTTCCACAGGAGTAGCAAGAGAGAAAAGGGTTCTATTTAGCTCCATTAGAAATTAGAATAAAATATGTGGCAAGCACGACCAGAATTAAACATGCATGATGACACGACAAATAACTTCTCCTGGTCAAACAAAATAATCTCTAAACCAAAAGTACGGTAGACTAAACAGTAGCTATTAGCCGAAATTATACTAGGGACATGCAGGAAACTCAATTTGACGGGAAAGTTGATTGTATTTAATTAGATACCCGTTTGAATCTGAATACAGAAATGGATAAATTTATAACGTATGGTATATAGGTCGGTTAATGCTAAAAAAGGTATCGTAATTATTTGCCAACGATAATGATCTGTAGGCTATCTTCAAGCAAAACTGGCTATTGTTGGGGTAAATTCTTGCATTATTGTCATCATTAGTTGTACAAAGTGTTGTGTACACGATTCTGTAGTGTTTCGATGCCTCGATTAATATAGTGTCCATAGTTTGCTCTGTCAATGATCTTGAGGTTGTTAAGATTAGTAATGTATGGGCCTGCAATATATGTTCTTTGATGTGAAATTTTTCACTCATTCTTTTTTCTTATGAGGAATTCTAGCTCACCCAATTTCTGCAGTGAGTAGCTTAAATTTGGCTAGTTTTAATATAAAATGGATTTTTAAGTTGTCTTTCGATAAAGGGAGAGGTTACGTAGCGGTTTAGTTACGAGTTACGACGCGAATCGCACGAGGGTTCGTGAAAACGCGTTTGCCAGAACATTTGATATCAATATTGTAGACTGTAGAGCTACATACAATTAATATATGACGAACAAAACACGGAAATTGTATAAAATTCTTAAATAAAAAAGTAACACTTGACTTTCTGCTGAGGGTAATAATTATGCATCATGCAGGTATTTTGAGTATTTCACCAATGCAGGCATTTATAAAGAGCTTTAGATTGCCGTTTACGACAAGCCCTGTTTCATATATGAACGTCGTCGTATAAATTACAAATTTAACGATTATTTGCAGTCATTTACATACAGAGTTGTTTCCCTCCTCAAGCTCAGTTCACATGAAATTTGATGAAAATTAATTAAACCTTCTCTGAGAAACGACATCTTCAAAAAACATGTAAGCTAAATGTTGCTTTTCAAAGCAATTTTATTTCATATTTTAATTAACGATTTGAATATGAAATAATTTGTCTTGAAAATGTTAAACAGACGCTTAATTTGAAATGTCGTATATTATATAAAACAATATTATCATAAGATAATTTAAGCTGATAATCGGATTAATTAATCTGAAGCCTGCTAATGTTCAAAGTCAACAAGTATAAATGGGTTGAATATTCCACTGAAACGCCAGCACAGAATACAACTAGCAATATTTGTAACTGGCATAAGACAAATATAGTCAACCTGCATTTGTTTCCAGTTATTTCGAATTCTTCACAATTTTATACAACTAATCGTCCTTATACCCATGCAGGAACTACTTAATTATGTTATTTAAATTTTTAAGGGAAGCGGTTATCGAACTTCCACGAAAATTTTTGGATATTTGTATAGGTATATACTATGCCTATGGTATGATAAAACATATATGGAGTATGACAAAGCAGCATTTCCGTAAGTCCGTATCTTATTTAAAGAAAATGAGTGCTTACGTCAAAATTCTTCACTTTGAATCATCAATTGAAAACGCTCCAACAATGCAGGTTCTCTTGTATTGAATCAGTGTTAACACCGCACGCCCCCTGAGATAATCATATTTCATTGTACAGGTTGTCTCAAACGAAAACTATTGAAGTCATGCACTCATTGTGAAAATTTGAATGCCGTGTTCACGAATTTCATGAGCCCGTGGAGATTTAATGCAACTTATAAAATGCGAATACGAAAAAGTTGAAGTTGTGAAAATGATTAAATTTAAATTATAGCCTTGTTGTTGCTTCGAAAGAAAATGGTACAGCTGACCGCGGAACAACGAGTGCTTATCTTGTGATATCATATCAACAGAGTGCTTAGGCATTCAAACTCTAACAATTACATTGTTATGGGTGATTTCAATATTTTTCATTTTTTTGAGACACCCTGTAGCCTATATTAATCACGTTAAAATCCCTACGAAATTATAATCCGTGAATGTTCACAATGCGAATATATTTCTTCACGGCGGAATATTATTTAACTTCCATGTTTATACTTACTTTGTACAAATACTTTTGTAGAATGGATAAATAATCTGTTGTTGATAATGAACTTCGTACTCTCTGTTGTTCAAAACCAGTCAGAATAAAGAGAGGTTTTTGTCTTCCGCTTTACTTCAACTTTTACACCGGATGTTGTAAAATAATATTGTCATAACAAGCACCCACGCAGCATACTGATATAAGCAGCATTCTCTCATCTAACGAAATTTCTTTAGAAAAGTTTGACTCTATCGAGGGAAGGTTGGAATAGTTAATATATTCTTTTCAAAAGTTCTTTGTCTCAGGTTATTGAAAACAAACTCCCTAACAGCTGAAGGTATGCATATTTAAATTGTGACAGCACAGGATGTAAGTGTATATTAAGTGCTATTCAGTAAAAAAAATTTACTTGTCAAGATCATCTGCAAGGTAGAACTTCCTGCCTGGCAAATATCAAAAACAGCAGGTAGTGCGAGGCAGCTGGTGTGCGTTTGGCTTTAATACAACCGTCCTCGTGCGACAATAAATTCAGTCAGAGTCTTCAAACAGGGGCGTTGGAAGCTTTCAAAGATTGGGGGGACACCAGCTTCCTGGGGCACTTTTGGTAAATAAAAGTGCGGCTAAAAACATACATATATATAATATATATATGACAAAGCTGCAAGGACACCACTATAGTGTAGTTTACATTTATGCTCTATCAAAATGATTTGGGCACGTGTAAGTATGCTAACGTAGGAAACAAAAAAGGCACCTTCGATTTTAAAATAGTATTTACAGCTACATAGCTTCTCCAAAAAGGCATATTTTGTCTACACTCATACAACAAGAAACATAAATCAGGAGAGTTTATTTGAGATTCTGCCAGTTGCTTGCGGTAAAATAATGTAGTGTCACGTTGAGAATGCAATATTTGTGATGATTTCTGCCAATATCTATATATTCCAATGGATATAGTTCAGGTATTGGATTTAGTTGAAATTCATGTTTTCATGTTTTTCCACTATGGCGCTATTTTTATATTATATCGATTTACAACAAATGCTTGTTTTGGCACAACTATATATATTTCGGTAAATTAAAAAACCACTGACAACATTTTTGGTGGCGAAGCTGATTTCTTTTTGTGAAATTTAGGCTTTTTTGGAGCATGGGAAAACAATGAGATATAACGACTTGTAAAATTATTTTACCATAAATTTTATTAGTGACGTAAAAATTGACTATTCGTAAAACATCCGACACAGTGGCTACTCAAAAGTTGTCGCCTAAAACAAAACTCCGACAATCAAAACAACGATGATTGTTAAAGTAAAGTTCCTTCCGTCTGTGTTAGTTCCTCCTTTATTACTAACTCCAGATGGCCCCTCACGATCTAAGAAAAGAAATTGTTATCAGTAATATTACGTTAAATAATATACCACAAACACATCCCACGACGATGAATATGGCTAGATTTATTGAGACTTTATTCTTCAAAGGGTCTTTGATTAAAAAAAAATGCTTTTCATGTTGTTATAATTTTTTATACCGAGTTGAAGAAAATGTCGTCGTGCGAAAGGCTAATTGTACGTTGTTGAGATGTTAAGCAACGTGATATAGCAGCAGCGGTGTCTCCGCAACAAATAACCTGATTCGATTCTAAAGGCTCGTTTGCGCTTGCAATTTTTGCAGCGATTTTATGTGCGAATTTCTTCTTTTAATATATGAGAACGAGTGAATTAGTTACTGATGTTGAAATAAGAGCTCTTATACATTACTACTCATTTATATCTATCAAAAGAGGTCGCCCGTTTACACTTGCGAATTTTGCTGCTATTTTACGTGCGATTTTCTTCTTTCAATAGATGTGAACGAGTTATACGTTGCGAATGCTCTGATGTAGTTTTAAGAGCTCTTATTTGAACATTAGTAACTAATTCACTCGTTCACCTCTGCATGAAACGTCAGTGAAAAAAAATGATGTAAAATCTTAACGAGACTTATGGGATAAGTGTAATTTGCAGTACATATATTCATGCAAATATACCGTAGGAACAACAGCGTACAAAAAAAAAGAAATCGGTCAGGTATAAGACGAATATATGAATTCCAACAATTCGCCAACCGTCCGCGATGTATTGTGGCCGATGACGAAGAAAATTAATTGGAAAGAACAAAACACTTCATTCATCAGTGATCACCGACAATAGCCATCGCCGACCGTCGGTGACAAACGAGAACCAGGCCTTACAATAGTGTTATGATCACAACTCACCATTTATTTTAAAATGTATCCATTTGCTTGAAATTCCTTTTGTTCCATTACCAAAGCCGAAAACTGATACACTGTAATTTGCTTCGGGTAAAAGATGATTGAGAGCAACCGAATACGTGACACTTAAAGTGTCGACCTTGAAAGAATGTATTGCATTTCTCACAATAACTCTATAGCCAATAATTTCATCGTGTTTTTCTTTGTGTTGCTGAATGAGAGTCCATTGAACCCCAGCTGAATTTTTGGACAAGATAACAATCTGCACGTTCTTCGGTGCAGGAATTACATCTAAAACAATTCAAGCAATATTGTATAAAATCTTCGTGCATTACGCTAAATCTACTCACGCGATTGGTCAAAATCAATCACGTGGTTTCTTGTTGCCTGGCGACAGATCATGGGAGTAATCATTTTTTCGCAATAACCCATGAAAATCATGGTTTATTAAAAAATGACAGACTGCAACGAAGCTTGGATCTTCAATGCAGCAATCAATAAACTCAGACTGTATATTAAAAGTGTTAGAGACTTTATGTTCGTATTTTGTTTACAGATAAACGCACTTTCTGAGCATACACCTCGTGCAATATTGAAATTTCTCGTTTATTGTATGGTCAGCGCTTGCGTTTATTTGTGAACAAACCACTCACAACAGTCTCTAACCCTTAATTACACAAATATAGCGATGATTCGGGGGTGTCAATCTATGCCAAAAATTGATAGGTCCGAATTGAGAGCAAAACCTGAATTCCTTGCATGTGTAAGCTATCAGAATGATTTAAAAAAACCTGATCTCTTGATATTGAGACACTCGGGGTTGAAGAACCGGCCGGTAGCGAGCGAATGAAGCTACTTTAACAGTATTTGGAGGGAAAGGAAATATCATGTGTATTCAATTAAGTTCATTTAACTTCATTTAACTACCACCAATTAAGTTCATTTAACAGATTTTAAATTTCTACAGTTATGTAACGACTTGGTGTAGCTATGTTACTACACACAACATACCTAATGATGAAAAGTTGAAAAGCTCAATATATCCATCATCATACTGTGTGAATCCTCGTATTGAGAGGGTATAATTAGATCTTGGGGTTAGGTCATGCAACACTACGTGATTAGTGTGGTTTGCCAGAGTGAAATCTATTTCCCTTGTCTTGCCAATAAGCGTCAATTTATACCCCAGCAAAACGCCATGAATTTTTTGGTTTGCTGAAATCCTTTCCCATTTAACCACTGCTCTTTTGGAAGTAATCTTTGCAAGGTAGACATGACTTGGCCTGGGAAGTTTATCTAAGATGGAAAAAATAATGCATCGTAGCTCCTTCAAAAGGGTCTCTCAATATCTTGGTGTCGAAATGATGTCAATTCACCCCACCAAAAAAACATTAAGATGCGATTAGATCAACATTGAGTGCGATTACACGTTATACGCATTTTATGATACTATTTATGCAAACGAAAACAGCTAGGAATATTATTATGCCAAAAAATACTTATCCAATCACAAAATTTGTTTTATATACCACATGACCACCGTGTCCTGAATAGCTCGCACCCGAGGTATTTTCCCTGAGGCATGGTATTCACTCAATAGAGCGGGGTTCTTATGAGGTCGGTATACTATTCTACAGGGTGTATCAAAAAAAATGTCCCAAATGTAAAATTTTCGTTTTTCAGGATATTTTGCAGAATTTGGCAAATTTTTGTGTTCCTAGAGATAGTTAAGACTTATCTGGTATACCTAGGCCAAGTTTGGTTTTTCATTAACAAAATTATGTTACCGGGGGTGGTTCCTTTCCACTGATATTGAGAGGGCTTGCGCGCGAAAATGTGAAGCTGAAATTGAGATATTATTTAGCTGTCTAAAAGTAGGAAAGCTTTTTAATAAACTGTCAAAGTTTCAGGAAAAATAATGCATACTGGGAGCAACGCGCGACCCCTAAAGGTGACAAATATTTCATTGCGCGAAGTGGATTAAATGCATCGTTGATTTTCGCGTGACCGATCTCATGCAAGGCTGTGCAAATGAATAAATTAAAGCGAGAAACTGAACAAAAAGACGAAGCGATTTAATAACAAGATTTTTATTCGTGATGTTAATCCTCAACATTTTCACCATTTCTTTCTAAGCAAACTGCAGCTCGTCTGAGCATGGTAAACACTGAACGGCGAACCATTTGTCTGCCCTGCCTCAAATTATCCATTTCGTTTTGAAATTCTTTCTTGCAAATCGCCTACGCTACCACCGGCAAATCTAGGCGAATGGACAGACAAATGGTTCGCTGTTCAGTGTTTACTATGCTCAGACGAGCCGCAGTTTGCTTAGAATGAAATGGTGGACATGCTGAGGATTAATTAACATCACGAATAAATCGCTTTGTTTTTGTGTTCAGTTTCTCGCTTTAATTTATTCATTTGCACAGCCTTGGATGAGATCGGTCACGCGAAAATCAACGTTGCATTTAATCCACTTCGCGCAATGAAATATTTGTCACCTTTAGGGGTCGCGCGTTGCTCCCAGTATGCATTATTTTTCCTGAAACTTTGACAGTTTATTAAAAAGCTTTCCTACTTTTAGACAGCTAAATAATATCTCAATTTCAGCTTCACATTTTCGCGCGCAAGCCCTCTCAATATCAGTGGAAAGGAACCACCCCCCGGTAACATAATTTTGTTATTGAAAAACCAAACTTGGCCTAGGTATACCAGATAAGTCTTAACTATCCCTAGGAACACAAAAATTTGCCAAATTCTGCAAAATATCCTGAAAAACGAAAATTTTACATTTGGGACATACACATTTTGATACACCCTGTAGTTATAGATCTTGAACTCCGGGTATCCGCCCATGCAATGAAACTTCTCTCATGGTAATTTCGTGGGCGGATACCCCCTCTTTTAAGGTCTTAAAACTAATAATAGATTGCTTCAATTCGAGCATCCCGACTGAATCAGAATTAAGAAAGGGCCGACTTCATTTCAACACTGTTTGCATGAGTAAGGTTGGTGTGGTGATGCAAAACAGGGAAGCTTTGTTAAAATTATCTTGGAAAGCAGCCCTCTGCATGCAACGCACGCACATTGTTAACAGAACGAATTTTACCCAAATGGCCACTTATACATAACTTACAGGAGTTATTGAAAATCCCGCACACGATATAAAATACTCGGGGTAAATTCACATGCTCTTCCAAAATAAAGAATGAAATAATTTCCGAGTTTTCTATCGTGCAGGTGAAGGAACATATTACATTTAATATTATAAAAAGATCACCCCTAAAACTAAGGAAATCATGTTTGCTCTGCTTTAAATTTTCTTGCGAGAGTATGCCGGCACGATAGGCATTTCATTTTTTTATTTCATCATTCACGCATAGCCTACGTCATAGATCCGCCATAGCTATACTTCTCCTATTCATGCACGACTGTCGGCGGTACCATGACAATCACATTATGATCACAACTCACCATTTATTTTAAAATGTATCCATTTACTTGAAATTCCTTTTGTTCCATTACCAAAGCCGAAAACTGATACACTATAATTTGCATCGGGTGAGAGACGCCTCAGAACCACAGAATAGGTTACACTTAAAGTGTCGATTTGAAAAGAATGTGTTGCGTTTCTCACATTTACTCTGTAACCAAAGATTTTATCGTATTTTTCCTCACGTTGTTGCACGAGAAACCACTGGATGCCAACTGAAGTTTTGGACAAGATAACAACCTGAATATTTTTTGGCGCGGGAATCACATCTAAAATAAAAGTTTGCACACATATTGTTATACAATACAATTTTACCGAATTGTGTCTTGAGACACATTGCACATGCGCCTTGAATCTTCCAGTCGAGTGTCGTAATAAAATCCACACTTTCACCTTATTCATAATTATCTGTATGCTGTACGAATCATATTTGCTTCATATTTCTTTATTTTTGAATGACTTGTACAAAATTTTTTTTTATATTTGGTCATATTTAGCAAATAGTTACAAACTTGAAAATAATCGGTAAAAAAAATGACAATGGAGTTGCACAAGTGTTGAATATAAAAACTTTGGTTCTGGTACTTAAAATGATTATCATACCGACCGTCAAAAATGCCACCGGCCATCTATAGTTTGCAAATGCGATGATGAAAATTATAACGTAATGATACTAACGCCGATTCAACGAAAAATGCCATATAGAAAAAGCCTAAAAAACTAAAGGTCCCAGGTGCAATCTTGTAAAAATTATTCATGTCGGAAATTATTATAATTCTAGATTTATTGAATTTTTTAATATTCAAGTTAGGCTTGGCATTGAAATCCAGCGGCATCTAGTTGGTCTTCTTCAGTTAGCGAATGGATTAACTTCCCCATAAAAACAATACGCAACATACCTAATGATGAAAAGTTGTACAATACAGCATAACCATCACTATACTGTGTGAACCCACGTATTGAAAGGGTATAATTTGATTTTGGAGCTAAGTCAGGAAACACGACGTGGTTGGTATCATTTGCTGATATGAAACTTAATTTTCTTTTTCGGCTGGTTAGAATCAGCTTGTATCCCAGTAAAACGCCGTTTATTTTTGGTTTTGAAGAAATCTTTTCCCATCTAATCACTGCTTCTTTGGAGGTGATCTTTGCAAGGTGAATATTATTTGGCCTTCGAAGTCGATCTAAAATAAAGAATTCTAATGGTTCAGTAGGTCTAGAAAAGTAGGAAATTGATAAAAAATAGCAGTTTTCAGTGGGTGGATGATATAAATCACGGGTACAGGAAGCGAGCCAAATGCCTGTCGCGCCGTGAAAATACTAGCTAACTAATCATTATCAGTCTAGAATTTGCAAACCCGGGCAAATCTTCAATTGCTGACTTCTAGCCAAGGAGACAAATAGTTTGAGTGGAAAAAAACTCCCCGAAAGCAAAATTATCATAAATATTAAGTAAAGGCCTATTCAAAGGTAAATATGTGATTTGCATTTGAATTGTCAGTGAAGAATTTACCTCTAGAGTTGGATAATAACTCACTATTTCTATTTCACACTTTCTAGCAACCACTTACGACATACCTAGTGATACAAAGTTGTAGAGTAGCGTATATCCATCACCATATTTTGTAAAACCACGTACCGAGAGGGTATAATTTGATTTTGGATTTAAGTTAGTCAACACAACGTAATTAGTATCATTTGCTAAAGTGATGTTTTCTTCACTTTTCATTCCAAATAGCGTCAATTTGTATCCCAACAAAACACCATAGATTGTTGCGTTCGCAGAAATCTTTTCCCATCTAAGCACTGCTTCTTTCGGAGTGATCTTCTCAAGATAAATGTTATTTGGCTTGGGAAGTCTATCTAAATGACAAAAATATACACCAATATATATATATATATATAATATATATATTATATATTATATATTATAATATATTATATATACATATACATATATATATATATATATATACATATATATACATGCATATTATTATATAATATATATATATATATTATATATATATATATATATATATATTAATATATATATGTACATATATATATATATATATACATAGAATATAATATATACATATATATTTATATATAGTTTCAACGAAAACCCCAATGACTGGTTTCACTAAAGAAAAAAAGCGTAGCGAAAACTACTGTGATTTAAGTTGCTTAACGGGACGGACTAATTTGAATTGATTTGGAAGGTACTCTTTCTTATACAAGGCCGTATATAACTGTAATATAACCCTATAACAATATAATCGTATAAGAATAATTCAATGGTATAACCGCAAAAATTTCAATCCAGATTTGTTGCGCAAATATATTTTTTTGTGTAAAAGAAAGTAAATTTAGTTATTAACAAATTTTCTAGTTTTATGACCTAAATGTCCATTATTTCAAACATCACACAAATTGCTGCTTACATGTGACTGAACAAAATTAACAAACAAGCTAGACTAATGAAACTTACTTTCAATGCGAAAGCTCAATCGAGCTGCGTTACATGGCGCTTTACTTGCAGTAAGAAGACACATGAATTTATCGTCTTTGGTAACCCCAGTGACTGTAACACTGCAGGAGAGAGTTTTATAACGAAGTACTTCTTCAACTTCACATTTGTGTATGTCATTATTGTTCTTACGAAATTCCACCCTTGTCATATATCCTTGGTTTGGGGAGTTAATCTTGACCGAGCCGGTACATTCCAATGTTATATTGGTGTCTTTTGTCGCATATGGGTAAGGTGTCGCTCTGTAAGATATGTTTGGTATCAGAGTTTCTTTAAAAAAAAAAAGAATAACCTATAATATAACCAATAATAAGGTTCGGTTGTAGAGACCATTTAAGAAAAAGAGAAGAATATTGCTCTTTATTAATTGGTGTTGTTAGTGGAGATCTTGTTAGTGAAGAGATACCTCTTTCCCATTAGAGGTATTGTTAGCAATGGCTGCAATATTTTTGCGGATTTTTGTTAAATTCTTTTCTTTTTTAACCAAACTGCTTTAAGATTCGATCAATTGAATAACATCACTGGGAGATAAAAAAACGATAAAAGTCAGAACTGGGAGGAAAACTAGGTTGTGTATAGGGTAATAATGCCAAAATAAATAATTCGGTATTTTATGTCATAAAGCTTGTAATTTTGACTACAAATTAAAAATATAATTATATATATATATTATGTGTGTGTGTGTATGTGTGTGTGTACAACATTTGACGATTGATATCGCGCACATTTTTGTATGCAAATATCTCGTGAAAATATCAAATATATTCACGGGTTACTTTCGAATTTATTACGCTTAACGTAATATTACTAACAGTAATTTTTCATATCCCAGTCAACCTCAATCGATATTAATATTAACGATACTACATTGTGGGTTAACGGACTATAAAAGCTTTGCAGTATTAGATACTTACGTGGTGTACCTACAAGCTAAATTACTTATCGACTGTCACCATGCATACATACAAGAATATTATCGATACTAATATTGTTCACAGTTCAAGTAACCTGCTGCACACTACAAAGCCTTCCAAAATGTAACTTACTAAAATGTTCGGATTTTATGTGGAGCAAACATAGGCTGCTGAGGTCTTCGTAAAGCGTCATAGCGGGTTGTGGCTGAATTGTTGCAACCAGGAGGATAATGCAGCCTAAAAGAAAAGAGTTTAAACAAAAATTTAACTTCGCAATCCACGCGATCGATCTGCGATTGCTTTGCGCGGAAATATCCCGAATTCGGACACAACATGGAAGATTTGAAGAAAGCGATGACAATTCACAATAATCATGCAATCGCGCAACATTAGCCTTTAAATAAACGGTCTAAATGTAGTTACAAATGTATATTCTTTTTCAATATTGTCATTCATATAATAATATATGCATAATTATTTCTTCAATTATTTTTAATAAGCAAATTAGCTTGTAGGTACACCACGTAAGTATTAAATACTGCGAACTAAAAATACTTTAAAATACTTTAAAACTTTTACATACAACTTACGTGGTGTGCCTAGCTACCAGCTAATTTACTTATTGATGTCACCATGCAAACATACAAGAATATTATTTTTAAAACGGATGATCAGGAATTCTATGCACTGGAATTTAGAGCACTTACACAAGTTCCAAACAATGTTTCCCATTTCAATTTCCGTTTGATTAAGTTTGGATCACGCTAATCAGTTTTATAAACCTGTTGGGTCTACAAAATGCACAAAAAGTGCTTTGGAGGTTTCCGCAGGAGTAGCAAGAGAGGGTTCTATTTAGCTCCATTAGAAATTAAAATGAAATATGTGGCAAGCACGACCAGGATTAAACATGCATGATGACACGACAAATAACTTCTGGTGGTAAACACAAAAATCCTAAACCAAAAGTACGGTAGACTAAACAGTATTAGCCGAAATTATACTAGGGACATGCAGAAACTCAATTTCGACGGGAAAGTTGATTGTATTTAATTAATACCCGTTTGAATCTGAATACAGAAATGGATAAATTTATAACGTATGGTATATAGGTCGGTTAATGCTAAAAAAGGTATCGTAATTATTTGCCAACGATAATGATCTGTAGGCTATCTTCAAGCAAAACTGGCTATTGTTGGGGTAAATTCTTGCATTATTGTCATCATTAGTTGTACAAAGTGTTGTGTACACGATTCTGTAGTGTTTCGATGCCTCGATTAATATAGTGTCCATAGTTTGCTCTGTCAATGATCTTGAGGTTGTTAAGATTAGTAATGTATGGGCCTGCAATATATGTTCTTTGATGTGAAATTTTTCACTCATTCTTTTTTCTTATGAGGAATTCTAGCTCACCCAATTTCTGCAGTGAGTAGCTTAAATTTGGCTAGTTTTAATATAAAATGGATTTTTAAGTTGTCTTTCGATAAAGGGAGAGGTTACGTAGCGGTTTAGTTACGAGTTACGACGCGAATCGCACGAGGGTTCGTGAAAACGCGTTTGCCAGAACATTTGATATCAATATTGTAGACTGTAGAGCTACATACAATTAATATATGACGAACAAAACACGGAAATTGTATAAAATTCTTAAATAAAAAAGTAACACTTGACTTTCTGCTGAGGGTAATAATTATGCATCATGCAGGTATTTTGAGTATTTCACCAATGCAGGCATTTATAAAGAGCTTTAGATTGCCGTTTACGACAAGCCCTGTTTCATATATGAACGTCGTCGTATAAATTACAAATTTAACGATTATTTGCAGTCATTTACATACAGAGTTGTTTCCCTCCTCAAGCTCAGTTCACATGAAATTTGATGAAAATTAATTAAACCTTCTCTGAGAAACGACATCTTCAAAAAACATGTAAGCTAAATGTTGCTTTTCAAAGCAATTTTAT